ATCTTTTCTCAGAGTAAAGAATCAGTCTATGAACATGAGTGCGGAAATATGCCAGGGTTTGCTGTTTATTACAGGTACCCAAACAGCCAGCGTGTCACATTTGGACAATTTGTGAAGGTTAGAAATTCTGACCCTTGACTTATATTTTTCTGTTACTTTTAGTGTAATACTTCATCATTTGTCTCAAGTTTTAGGTTAAAAACTCTATACCTGTCTTAAGCATTCTTGTTTGTTATAATTTAGTATTCTTAGTTATGATACGCCACATGTAAAACTGCATTTTAATACATTTCTGAAAAGTAGTATTGGCTAACTTGAAGATCTTTGAATAGGGTAATCGTCTAGAAAAAAAAGCAAATTTCAGTTTTTGAAGGGAAACTAAGGGATTGCATATCAAGAATAATTTATATGATGAGTAGCTGAGGCAAATCAGTGAAGAATTTGTTCACTTCAGTAGTCAATTCCTGAGTTACTTACAGTGCATTTATGCAGGGCTTGAGTAAATCTTACACTGTTTGAAATAGACGGTTATTTTAATTGGTGCCGGACGTTCTAATCTTTCTCTATCTTAATTTATTGAACTCATGGTATGACGCCTAGAAAAGTAGTGAAAAATAGCGTTTTACTTTTATGGAACTGCAGTGCTTGTGCTCTGTAATTTTGGTATCTTCCATTTCATTTTTGGATATATTTTCCCTATGTAATTCCACTGTATTTAGCTATCAAGTATTCTTCTTTAACTAGTGGTAACAAAGTCTTATTCCTTTGTGTTTTATATCTGTTTCATCTGTTAATATCTCTGAAAGGTACATTGGAAATGGAGTGGAAGAATCACACGGCTTTTGATCCAGTGTCTGGAGTCTAATGAGTATATGGAGATTCGTAATGCCCTAATTATGTTAACAAAAATATCTGGTGTTTTCCCAGTTACTCGGAAAACTGGGATAAACCTTGAGAAACGGGCAAGTACCTCTTTACTACACATCTTTTGATTCTGCTTCTAAATTTGATTTCTATCTTTCCCGCTGTTTTCTTCATGAAAGATTAATGTTTCTTTTCTTTGATGGTCTGGTCTCGCAGGTAGCCAAGATTAAAAATGATGAGCGAGAGGACCTTAAGGTCTTAGCAACTGGTGTTGCCGCAGCCCTGTCTGCAAGAAAAGTGAGTGCTAACCATAGCAATTTCATATTCAGTGTTTTATGCAATTTCACTGAATGTCGTTTATTTTGCAGCCACATTGGGTTACAGATGAAGAATTTAGCATGGGCTTCCTTGAACTAAAGGCCCCGCCAGTCCATACTCCAAAACATACTTCTTCCCATGGTTCTTCCCAGAATGGCTTGTTACTTGGTGTCTCCCATGGTGAACCAACTGGGGAAAGAGCTAGTGTTAACCAACAGACTGAGTCTAGCGGATTGGGCAAGGACCAGTTGTTGAAAACTAAACCGCTAGATGGAAGAACAGAGAGTGTACCTTCAAAATCTGATCAACATCTAAAATCAAAGGGAGGCAATCCATTGGATGCCCAACCATCCATGTCTAAGAAGTCAATGGAACAAAAGGAAACAGATGAAATAGCCAAAATATCTGATGAGAATCTTGTCAAAGCTGCTTCAAAGTATTCTGAAACTGAGGTATGGTCGTGTTCTCTTCTCTTTTATTTGCAGTTAGCCACCCGAACAAGCAACCCAAAATTTTCAATAGCATGTGTTCACAAAAATTATGTAGGAAATTATCCTCCCCATTCTATCTTATTTGTTTGCTAGGGCCAATTATATTAACTTGATAGTTAGGACTGATTTAAGGGAAGTGATAGTTAAAAGTTATACTTGGGGTTACTGTGTAGACATAAGGACTGTCTTTTATCTGTATCACGTATTCACGTCGGCTGTGTGTCACTGTGTTGTGAGTGAGGGCGCTATGGTCAATTTGGTGGCTGAAAGAATTAAGCTAATCAGCATTTTCAGGATTGTTTTGGTTTCTAACTTTGTATTATGTATAAATGTTTTTGGCTGACAGTTAAAACCTTCCTCTAAACGAAGTGCATCAGTGAACAAATCTACAAAGCAAGATTTTGGAAAAGATGATGGAAAGTCTGGTAAAGCTGGTGGAAGAACATCCACTGCTGACAAAGATCTTATTTATTTGGAGAGCAGGCAATCAGGTTTAGCCAAAACTCCTTCCAGCACAGCAGCCAATGGTAGCATAGCGACTGGTTCATCCAAAGGTTTCATCTCGCTCACAAAATCATTAAATGTTCATGGAAGCTAACGTAAGTTGGATAAACTAGTCTGGTATTCTGACTTTAATTTCTGATGCAGTAAAAGACGATGGTGCTGAAGCTTCGGATGCACAAAAGCAATCTTCTCGGACTGTTCATTCCCCTCGGCATGAAATCGTCAGTTCTGTGAGATCGAGTGATAGGTTACAAAAACGAAGTAATGCTGTAGAAGATAGTGAGAGAATAAGTAAACGTCGTAAAGGAGATGCTGAACACAAAGAGCATGACAGTGAGCCTCGATCAAGTGATCGAGATAGATCAACAGATGCTCGACTGGATTTAAACAAAACAGTTACTGATGACCAAAGCACCCATAGGGATCAAGATAGATCAAAGGATAAGGGTAATGAAAGACAGGACCGAGACCACAGAGAAAGAGGTGAGCGTTCTGATAAACCTCGCGGAGATGATGTAGAGAAAGCACGAGATAAATCCTTGGAACGTCATGGTAGAGAGCGCTCTGTTGAGAAGGGTCTAGATAAAGGAACAACTAGGAGTTATGATAGAAATAAGGATGAAAGGAGCAAAGATGATAGAAGCAAACTGCGACATGGTGAGGCATCACTTGAGAAATCTCATTCTGATGATCATTTTCATTCTCAAGGTTTACCCCCACCTCCACCTTTACCTCCTAACATTGTTCCACATTCTATGGCCGCGAAAGAAGACCTCGAAAGAAGGGCTGGAGGTTTAAGGCATTCTCAGAGGCTTTCCCCGAGGCATGATGAAAGGGAGAGAAGACGCTCCGAGGAGAATTCATCAGTTTCTGTGGATGATGCAAAACGTCGAAGAGACGACGATTTTCGTGACCGAAAGCGAGATGACCGAGAATCAATCACTGTAAAGGTAACATAGCTCCCTCAATACATACCGCAATCGATATTTGGGAACTGAAGAATTTTTCGCTGTAGTTGGCATCGTCATGGTTCTTTCTCTTATCTACTTGTGTGTTATGGTGATTTGTCTCTGATTTCTTGAACATTTCTTGTTGGATAGACATTTGGTCAGTTTTTAATCATGAAAAATGAGAAATTCGATGGAGTGTTGTCCACCATGATCTCCCTTTTTAAGCATACGAATAACAATCTGATTTCTACTCTATGCAGGGTGAAGAAAGAGAAAGAGAGAGGGAAAGAGAAAAAAGCCTCCCTTTGAAAGAGGATTTTGAAGCCTCCAAGAGAAGGAAGCTTAAGAGGGAGCAACAGGTTTCATCTGCAGAGCCAGGGGAATATTCTCCCATGCCACCACATCAATCGTCTTTATCGACCGGTATGGGAACATCATCGTACGAAGGCAGAGAGCGGAAGAGCAGTAATATGATGCAACATGGAGGTTATCTTGATGAGCCAAGCATCAGACTTCTTGGGAAAGAAGCTTCCAGCAAGATGACTCGTCGTGATCCTGACCCGTATCCTTAAAAAAAAAAAGAGAGCCCCGTTACCAACATATATAATATATATATGCTCGAGTTTGCATCATGAATCAAACCTTTATATGATGCATCATTAAATGGTATCTTCAGAGTAATCCAAGACTTGGTAATTTCCTTGACCTTGGTATAAGAATATACGACCGTGAATGGGAAGAGGAGAAGAGGCAGAGAGCAGAACGGAAGCGGAGAGATCGGAAGTAGACTGATGAATTGGCAGATCCGTGGTGTTTGTTCAATGAAGACAACTGGCTGCATTTGTTGTACACGTACTGTTAAGCACCATTCCATGACCATGCGATCTACTTTGTCATTTGGCTCTCTGCCAGAGTTTGATAATGACTTGCGAGACTTTAGAAATGCTCATACGAAATTCCCAATTTATATTCTGTTTATCCAGATTTGAGGTTTTGTAAACTTGTAGCTAGCCAGGGAAAATAGATAGTGTAACAAATTACAAATATCGAATTTTGTTTACTCAATTGTTTTAAAACAGTGTGGAAAAAACGTCTGAATCAGATTTTAACAATACAAATGGTCCGCAATAAACAACCTTGACCTGCTATGTTTTATAAAGACTATTGGAAATGATAATTACAACTATTTTGGTTTGCAATGGCGATATGTAAATTTTGATATCATAAACTTTTTGATTTCCATCAACTTAAAAGAAAAAAGGGAAAGCAAAAGAGTAAGGGACTACTACTAGACTCACGCTTCTGAAATATGCCGTCGACTAGTTTTAACTTTTAAGTATGTAAATCCGTCCTTAGTGCTGCAGTTTTCCATTTCATGTCATTGCTTTGATAAGGATAAAGATGAAATCGATATCACATAATTTTTCCTTTCGTCGGCTAAATCAAATTGAGGCTTAGGGTTCATGCTTGAGAATCACTTCTCTCATTTCAATCCAATGTGGTAAAGGTATTTATATGTCTACCGAAATCAAATTGTTTAAAAATAAAATATTTAATTGATCAATTTTGTTTTGTTCTGTTTTTTTCACTGTGAATGGTTGAAATTATGGGACTAAAAATTACAGATTTTCTTATCAAATTTTATTGAATTAGTATCAAAGAATGTGACAAATCGGTTCTGTTTCATTTTCCACGCTCATATCTCTCTGTAAAATAAAAGCCATAAGTCTCAATTCCCAAATTTATCAGACTTTTCCTTGATTTCTTAAGACAAAAGTTTCTTTGCTGCTTACTCGTGTACAAGAGTCTCAGATCGATCCAAAAACACACAAAACTCATTATAATGTAAACTATAATCATATATAAAAAATATAACTCTTCAGTTCAGGTCTCCAAATTTTTTCAGCACATTGAAATCTCAGGAGAACGAAAGTTTTAGTTTTAACATCATCAGAGTTTGTTTTACCCACAACACAGACAAAAACTAAAAAAAAAAAAAGATTAAGTAGAAATTGCCTTAAGCTCAGTTCAGGTCTCCATAATTTCTCCGCATGATTAAAATCTCGGAAGAACGAAAGTTATGATTTGATCATCATCGCTAGGCAATTTTTCAAAATCCAAACCCAGAAGAAAAAAAAAACAGCGATAATACATAAGAACCACTACTACTTGTGAAGAAATCAATAGAGAAACTAAAACCGACCAAAGCTTAAAAACAAAACGATTAGAAAAGTGAACTATTTGGTGATATAAGGTTACGGCCTCATCACTTGGCTATTTATATGGCTGGCCACAATGGAAGAGGGAGGCTGAGGTCGTCGTGGTGGTCGGCCACTTAAACAAACCCTAGCTCTCTCTATCTTTTGGGCTTTTATTATAATGGGCTACATTATTAGTGGATCTTTCTAATTGAGCCCATGTGATAGAGATATCTTTAAAAGAAAAATCCAAAAACACTACTGTTTGCAACTCTATTATTGCTATTTTGCTGGGGTTCATATTTTAATATAAAGACTCTACCACAGCCGTTGGATCACATCCCCACGTTATCAACACGTGGTTCAACCAACCCAATATCCATTAACAGAAACAAAATTGCTACATTCTTTTACAACTAAAATATTGTCCCCCATTCATTATTTCATCTTTTTCACTATTAATATTACTCATCATGCTTTTTTTTTGATAAAACATATTTGTCAAGACGTGTAATACAATTTCTAAACAACTACATATTATTTATTATTAACACTAACACATCATCCACGATTTCATAACAAAAGAAAAGAAGTACTTTTATATTGACTACTATATAATAATATTGACTACTATATAATAATATTTAATTAACAGAACTAAAATAATCTTGTAATTCTTCAAAAAAAAAAAAAAGAGAGCAAATGAACATTATTAATGAGTTAGGGGTTGGGTTAAGTGATTATCGTGTTCAGTTTGATGAAAGTGGAAAAAAGTGCTGTCGAGAGTGAGTGATTAAAACTAATAATTTTTGCTTGTAGGATCGACACGATATCATGAGCACAAGCGATTTGGTAAAAGGCTTAAAGCTAATGAGGAATGCAAAACATTAAACATTATTGAAGAAACTTGAGTCTCGCTCACTAAGAGCAACTCCAATACAAGTTTTTTTAGCAAGTTTTTAAGAGTTAGAAAGAATAAAAAATAATAAAAAAATGTGTAATAAGCTAAGGAAAAGTTTTTAGCTAAGAGATTTAGAACATGATTCTTAGAAACATGTGTCAATTTTTCATTGAGTGCAACAAAGAAAAAAAGAAAAAAAACAAGGTTTCTGCTTTTGAAAAAATATAATGCTTAAGAACTTTACCATTGGAAGATAAATTTTACTTACTCTTTAAAAGGTTTTTAACTTCAGATTTTATATTTTTTTGTAATTAAAATATATTAACAAACTTTTTTAAAAATTTACCATTGGAAATGGTCTAAGTGGAAAAGCTTGGTTAAACAGAATAACTATGTTGTAATAAGAGTTTAACACAAAACAAATTTAAGAAATTTGAAACATTGAATGGTAAGTAGATTAAAAATAATATAAAATTAAGACACTTGTCGAGCTGTTGAAAACTATTTAGGCCACTCTAATTTTGTCGACTGTTTATGTTCTCTTTAAATAGAGAGTATTCGAGCTGTTGAAGTTGAAGGCATCAAGAGAGAAAGATAAAGAGAGAGCTCTATATATATATATGGCGAAGCAAATGTTTCCACCCAACGGGATTCTCAAGAGCGAGGCTCTCAAAGAGGTCTTTTAGCTTGTCACTTTTTTATTTTGTTTTGTTTAAATAGTTTTCTTTACGACTCTACTTCTTAATGTTCTGTTCGGATCCCACAGTGTTCTATGAAATTTTACATTGTGTTTGTCCGATGAGATTAAAAGCTTTTATAATGATTCAGATTTTCCGTGAGCTAAACCCCAACCAACATTATATACTAATGGTACGTACGGTTGTTGTTGTGCAGTATATCTACGAAACGGCGGCGTATCCAAGAGAGCATGAACAGCTCAAGAAATTACGAGAAGCTACAGTCCACAAGCATGGCTATATGTAAGTCTGGCTAGCTACAACTTCTATTATTGTCCATATATATACCCATGAGCTAATGTTTTACAAGAGTAATATACGATATCATACTCTTAAACTTAAGAAGTACACTTGCAAGTTTCCGTAACATTAGCTAGATCCTAATTATGCATGTACTACTTCCACGTAAACGTAAATTAATTGATTTGTTTTGGAGTTTTAACATTTTTATAATCATAACATTTTCAAATTTGATCAGGAACTAGAATTCTAAGTCTAGTGGTGTGGCTAAGTCAATGTGTCACTATATCCCACAGTTTCAAAATTTTCTTTTATAGTAACTAAAAACAATTGAGACTTTTATATATCGGCTACATGATTGCTAAGACAGATAGATAAAATCATGTGCATACAGGAGCGTGATGGGGGTACCCGTCGATGAGGGGCAATTTCTATCAATGCTTATAAAGATAATGAATGCCAAGAAGACACTAGAGCTCGGTGTTTTCACAGGCTATTCACTCCTCACCACAGCCCTTGCATTGCCTGAGGACGGACATGTATGTATACGGCCATACATGCACAGTCGTCCTTAATTAATTTCCTCTAAATCAAATATAATAAGAGCTAAACAATGTCTACCCAACTCTTTTGGATATACAGGTTACTGGAATAGACATTGATAAAGAAGCTTACGAGATGGGTCTAGAGTTCATCAAGAAAGCAGGTGTTGATCACAAGGTCACTTTCATCCAGTCTGATGGTGTTCAGGCCTTAGACAAGATGTTAAGCGTACGTACGCATGATCCTTAGTTTACATCAATAGTCATGTTTCTAATATCTCTTATAGTACGCACTTGCGTGATTAATTATTAGTTTTGTTATAAAAATATGTCAGTAATAATCAACATTGGTTAATAATAATATGTATACGTATATGATGATGATGATGGATGAACCACAGGAGAATCCAAAACCGGAGTTTGATTTCGCATTTGTTGATGCTGATAAACAAAACTACGCCAACATGTACGAGAGACTGATGAAGCTGGTGAAGGTTGGTGGGATTATAGCGTTTGATAACACATTGTGGTTTGGGTTCGTGGCAGAGGAAGAAGAAAGCGTCCCAGAGCGCATGAGGATGTATAGAGAAATCCTAATGGATTTGAACAAGCAGCTAGCTGCTGATCATCGCATCGAGCTCTCTCAAGTCTCCATTGGTGATGGTGTCACTCTCTGCAGGCGCCTTGTTTGATTAAGAGAGTCATTTAATACTTTGACTGTGACAAGACTAGATCGAATCACATGTCCTTATCTTATCTATCGCAATATTTTCTTATTTCAATAACCATCCTAGCTCGGTTTGTTTATCCGGTTAAGCTCTATTTTGGTCAAGTGTTGGATTGGACCACACAATTAAACCTTATCGTCATCTCCCTGTGTCTCTCTTCCGCGATCATATATGCTTTTTACAGTTTCCATGCATGTGTTTTGTTTTTCCTTGTGTGACAGTTTCCACATTTATTCGTGGGAGTGGGTAAACACAAACATAACAGATCCTCCAATATTTGTTTTTGTTTGTATTCAACAACAGGTACGGTCCCCCTGCCGTTGAATGTATTTCACGTGTGGTTTGATAATGACCACCCAACATAAAAAAAATGTCGGCTAGCTGCCTAGCTCTCTTATCATCACTCGAAAGTATGCAACATGAGCTTTTTTTTATCTTTTTTTTTCTTTTAAATAGGTAATTTGGATATACTTATGAGGAATTTGGAGAAAATCCTCATAAGTATACACATAAACGTTTTAAAGTAAAATATACTTTACAATTTTTTTTTCTTTTGGACAAAAGTAAAATATACTTTACAATTTTTTTTTCTTTTGGACAAAAGTAAAATATACTTTAAATAAAATATTTATCAAAGATGCAAAAAAAGAAAAAAGAAAAAATAAAAATGATGCCTATACAGTATACAGATGTCGAGCTGTTGATAACTACTAGGCCACTAAAACGTCAATGATTGTTTGACGAGTAAAAGAGATATAAATGGGTTATGTGCGTCATAAAGCTTTCTGAAGCAAGGCATCAAAGTTGTAGAGAGAGTGAGAGAGACAGAGATAGAGAGAGCTATGGAGAAACAACTGCTTCCGCCCAAAGGGATTCTCAAGAGCGAGGCTCTCAAAAAGGTCTTTTAATCATGAGTTTATACTCCCTACTTAATTGCTTGTGTTTTTTTTCTAAATTTTGTTCGGATCCCAACTCTTGTTTAATCTGCAAGATTTTACTTATATAGTTTTGTCCGATGAGGTATCTATCTATATGAAGCTTTAATTATCGTTTGTGGCTTGTGTGAATCAATACTTGTGATATGTGTGACAGTACATATTTGAGACGTCGGCTTATCCAAGAGAGCATGAACAGCTCAAGAAACTAAGGGAAGCTACGGTCCACAAGTATGGCAATTTGTAAGTCTGGCACTGCAGCCTCTATATATATTGTCCATGTTTCTATAATCATAATTTGTATTAATGAGCTAATATTTTGCAAGAGTCTATAAGGTCATATTCTTAAACTTTCGTGACAATCATTGCAAGTTTCATAACGTTAGATCCCAAACCGTAAATATGTATTTCCACTAGCTTAAATAAATTGATTTTCTTTTCTTGCTTATGAAAATATCCTAAAAATAAACAATTTTTTTTTTTTTGACTTATTAGCTTTAGTGGTAGGAGTTGTTGTGCCGGGATAGAATATAATATCAATGAAAAAGATTATACTAATAATGAACGAACGAAACAAATGATTTGTGTTTGTATACGTAGAAGCGAGATGGAGATACCTGTTGATGAAGGGCATTTCCTATCGATGCTTCTAAAGATAATGAATGCCAAAAAGACACTAGAGCTCGGTGTTTTCACAGGTTATTCCCTCCTCACGACAGCCCTTGCATTGCCTGAGGATGGACATGTATGTACACGTATTCAACACTCTCTTTATTTACTTAAAAATATATATATATATCTAATAAGACATAAAATGATAAGAGCTCTTAACATCTATATATGAACTCTCATGGGATATACAGATTACCGCGATAGACATCGACAAAGAAGCTTACGAGGTGGGTCTAGAGTTCATCAAGAACGCAGGTGTTGATCACAAGATCAGTTTCATCGAATCTGATGTTCTTCAGGCTTTAGACAAGATGTTGTCCGTACGTAATACATTACTATTATATCTATCGGTCCTTAGACAATATATTTGTTGATGTTCTTGATCAGGCCTTAGACTAGATATTTTTTACTATATTACATTTAGAATTAGCTTTGTTATATCCTCTTAATCTGATGACATTATATTGGTCGTTATGCATGATCATGGAGCACAGGAGAATCCAAAACCAGAGTTTGATTTTGCATTTGTTGACGCTGATAAACCAAACTATCCCAACATGTACGAGAGACTAGTGAAGCTGGTGAAGGTAGGAGGAATCATAGCGTTTGATAACACACTGTGGTTTGGGCTTGTAGCAGAGGAGAAAGAAGAAAGCGTGCCAGAGCATTTGAGGAAGAACAGAACAGCCATTATGGAGTTGAACAAGCAGCTTGCTGCTGATCCTCGTATTGAGCTCTCTCAAGTCTCCATTGGTGATGGTGTCACTCTCTGTAGACGCCTTGTATGATGAATGAGACTCATCAAAATACCAAATGTACCTTTTTAGTTTGTTCGGCTTGGGATTTGACTCGTCGTCGAGTGATTTTCTTGTGATGTGATTTGATCACCTTTCAGTTTTTATATACGAGTCCATGCATTAAAAGAGTGCAGTTGAGTAACAAGCTCTGGAGGTAAAATTAAATACGGTAGAATCATATAGTTCTGCAATAGCCTGAGTATGTGCAAAACGGGTTCACCTACTATACATATACTGTATTTTCCACTTTTGTTTCCATCCGATGATGTCATGCAATGCAACCATCTTTGTGTATCACAAAAGAGATACTAAAATGCTAATTAAGATCTGAATACGAACCATATATATAAAAATCATATATCATATATCATCAGCACACCCAAAATACAAACGAATAAATCACACATAGAGTGCAATAGAAGTAACAACAAACAAATAAGGAATCAAGAGGTACACAAACTCTAGAGAAGCACAAATACCACCAAAGAGCTCTCTCTAACCCTATACACCCAAACAAACTAACTTCCGGAAAAGGAGAGACGAAAATGTTAGCCAAAATGTCACATCTTTCTCCCCTCTCTTCCTCGGCTTTTCCTTCTCCTGTCCTCTAAACCCACTTTAACACCAAATCTATGTCACAAACTCTCTTTTCTTTTTTTACTAGGTTATAGGTTTGAGGATGGGAAATATCAGCATGCTAAGTTATATATGGTGATACAACCAATCACATGAGGTAAGAAATAAAACAAAGTAAAAGCATGATATAAGGTTAAAAACAGCTTAATAACAAGAGCCTAGTAGGACATTCCTTTACTTGTTATTTTCTGGATTCTCCCCCTCACTGGGTACTTTTCGTTAACCCACCACTCCGTCCAGCAGCTGCAGCTCTGTGCAAATCAAAACAGAAAAATTTGTTTGAATACCATATTATGAACTAAAACTCTGAGTATTATGTAGCTAGCTAACCATGAAATGCGCAATACAAAGTTTACCTTCCCGCAAGAATCTGGGCGGTGTTGGATGGGGTCTTGCTGTTTGAAAAGGTCTTGCTGTTTGAAAAGGTCTTGCTATTTGAAAACCTTTTGGCTCTCGTGTCCTGATCTTTCTCCACGCGCATTGCAGCAACTTCTTTCTCCATCGCAGCTACTTCCCTTCTCATCTTTTTCGCTTCAACCTCCATTGCCTTTGTTAATGTTTCCACCTTCTTTGCTAGCATCTACAAACCCTCAAATCATCACTACTTCCTCCGTTTACAACAAGCAAGTTTTTCTTTAAACAGATTCATATGGCATAAAGACATAAAATTGTTACCTCGATAGCATCATCTTTGTCTTTGAGGCTTTGATCCTTTTCATGAGAGGCTTTCCTCAAAGAAACAACTTCTTTCTGTAGTAAATCATACAAGACACCTGGGACACTGTCCTCACTTGTTACTGCTGCAGGGTCTTCACTTTGTGGCTTCTCCTCTGAATTTTCTTTCCACCCATTACCTGACTCTGCTTCCTTAGAGTCATCAGTAGCCTTGTTGAAGGAATAATTCCCAGGTCCATTTAAAAGTGCTTTTCCCCTATCCAAGGATCTTGTGCCTCCATCAAACGACTTAGATGTTCCTTTAGCATTCTTCAATACCGAAGTTGAGTTAATAGACAAAGAATGCCTCATCTGAGAAGTTGGAGCTTTCTTTGATAAAGAACCGTTTGATGGAAATTTTTGTAAGTTTTCAGCACCACCAAGCGACTGCCTGCGAGAAGGTCCATTACTCATGCTTCTTGCGTCTGGTGTGTTCCTGGTGCTGCTTGAAGTTCCTCTAAGTGTCTCCTCAAGTACTTTAAGCCGCAGTTGAAACTTTTCCTGGTAAATGCAAAAACAGCAATTTTACCTTTTTGTTCTGTGAATAACCAGAGAGAAGCTGTGACTAATGCATAAGATTGGTTACTTTTAACTGTGCTTCAGATTTAGCAGCTCGATCTGTTATGGCAAGCTTATCGCGAAGTTGCTGCATTTCTCCCTGCAAAAAGTACGAACCTAAAAGTGAGAATGTAGATATGGACGGGCCTTGCTCAGTGCAAAAAATTTGCATCCTAAGATTCTAGGAGAGGGGCCATCATATCAAAGTAAACCTGTAGAAACCTTCGTTCTTCAAGCCATTGCTTCACAGGCATCACTTTGTCATTACCATCTTTCCACTCATTAGCTACCACCGTGGCAACTCTGTTTGCTGTGACCTTTGCACGTGCAAGCTCCCGGTCAAGAGTTTTCCGTTCTTCCTGAAAGATACAGCAAGAATATTTTCTATATCAGTAGGCAATCGCTGTGACAAGGAATTAGAGATTCTATGGCTTTTCTGAAGTATGTTTAGTTACATTCATCTCTTGAAATTTCCGCTGGTAATCCCTCACGGCATTAGCAGCAGCACCACCTGCAAGAACAGCCTCTTCCAGTTCTCGTACTGTCTGAGTAAGCTTTTCCACTTCAGCTACCTTCTGCCTGTGCATTCTGTCTAGAATTTTGTTTTCTTCCTAAAATACAAGTAAATTTAATCAGATTGTTGGCAACGACATGTTATGGGAATATACATGGATTCAGCAAATACAAAGCATAAGATGGTAACTACAGAACCTGACAGATTTCTATTTGTTTCATCAACTCCTGGTTCTTATTTTGAAGATCATCAACCAAGGCGGCTTTTGCCATGGCAGATTCAACGGTCCTCTCAGCTTCAAGTAAGGCAGCTTCCTTTGATTTAGTCAGACGGTCTAAAGCCCTGTTATCTTCTTGAAGCTTTCCAATCTATGCAGATATACAGTGACCTCATAAATTTTCAACATCTCATATGGAAGTAGCTAGCAAGCAATTAGACTTAAAATGGCAATGTAAATACCTCTGATCGTGCAAGCTTAAGCTCAGCTTCTAATGGAGCAAGGATGGCTTCAATTGGAGGCATGTCATCATCCTTTTGAGCAGCATGGACCCTTCTTAAGGTGGCTTCAGCAGCAAACTGAGCAGCCATTGATGCTTTCTTTTCCTCATTGATTTTCTTGATTTCTAGATTCTGCAACACGGTTGATATCAAATGTTTCTATGATTAGCATAATAAACGAAAGATGAATATAAAAATCGAACCAAGGAAGGATCATCGAACAATACTTTGCTTTGGAGAATGGATTCAGTCAATTTGAGCTTCTCATCCAGTTTCGTAAGCTCCTCAGTAAGCTAACAAACAAACAAAAACATAAGATGTTAAAGTCAATCACAAGAAGCATGGAAACTCACTTGTAACTACTTAGACCTAAAGTCATGTGTACAAGTTTATACTTAAAAGTCAAGATCAAGCACATGGTGTAATTACTCGATCAAAACTAAGTAAAACAGAATAAATTATGTATGTTCTCCAACCACATTGCCCAATACAACACTGAGATAAATGCACCTGAACCAATCATGACAAATAATTTCTTCAACAAACTAGGCAACTTATAAATTTGTGGTGAAATAAAAGTGACCACAAAAAAACTCACAGATGTGGTTGAAACCCAAAAATAGAGAGATTAATAATCTTCCCTTGAGAATTCCCAAAATGAGTGAAATTTATCAACCATTATTAATTGGTTGAACCAAAATGAAGCGAATTTACCAAAACATCGAGACATGATTAAACTTCCCTAACACTTTGCTAAAATGTGAAACTGAAAAAAAACAAAAACAAATCTTCAGACAAAAAAAAAAAAAGATAAAGTTCAGAGACAAAACCTCTTCAACAGCTTTCTCTCTTTGTCTCTCAGACAACCTAAGCGCTTTGATCTCAGCGTGTGCTTCTCCTAACTCCCGATCCTTATCTGCATCCCAAATAATTTGTCTTAAAAATCGAATCGACACAGAAAAAAAATAACAAGATCGAGCAGCATTATCAAACCTCTAACATCATTCTCTAGTCGATTAAGCTCCACTTTCACTGGATCCGAGCCATGAAGCAAAGTAATAAACTCATTATCAGCAGCAGCGTCAAAGCTCGGCCTAATTGGTCTCCTCTTCGACGAGCTTTTACCACCGCTGCTCTCTTTGTAAGACGCCGACACAGTCAGTGACGGATACGTCGCCGTCGAAACCGGAGGTTGTGAAGAATGCTCAGTAACCGTCGCAGATACATCTCCGTCACCGGAAACATCCGACATCTCCGATCTGATCCTTTAGATAACCACAAGAACACTTATAAATCCAAATGCGAGAAGAGATTGTTTGAGAAGAACTCTTTTTTTTTTTTTTTGGTTTTTTTTGCTAAGTGAGAAGAGAGAATGAATAATAATAAAAGAGAGATTAATATATAAATGCTGTTACAGTTGTTTCTCTCTCTCTTTCTATTAGTAATAGATTTGACAAGACAGCGAGAGAGAGAGAGAGAGAGAGGATGACGCAAGATTTGTAATTAATTAAAGCATGATCTCCTTCTTCAACTTCAAACATGTTACCTTTATTTCTGATTAGTCAAATAAACTAATTTAGTAATCACTAATTAGATTAGAGAATTATTATTATTTTAATGTACTATGTTTTCTACTATTTTCCTCTAGTTGCTTACAGTGAATTGTGTCGCTTGGATCTATCTTAATAATATTGTTAAAGATAAATAAAAAAAGTTAATTCTTGGTGTGTAAATTTATTTTAATGTAAATTAATCCAAAGTAATAATAAGAAATTTCAGTTTCACTACAGTTTTTTTTTTAATTAACTATTGATATCATGGAATTTTATGTTGCATTAGTGACTAATCACTTTGTTTTTGTACATTCTGTTTTAAATATAATTTACAGAACAGAGAAAACTATATTCAGTTTTGTTTTTTAAAAGAAAGGTAGATGTGTTCAACTTTTGCAATTTATATACCTTATGTAGTTAGATGTGTTTAAGTTTTGATAATACGTTAGATAATTAATTATATTGGATAAATAAAAGACTATGTTGACTTGGACCAATATGTTCAATTGACTGATAATTAGTAATTAGTGAAGAAGATTAGATATACAGGGAGATGCTTTGCGCATGAAAAGAGGGAAAATATGTTCGATGTCCCAAATATCTTTGTTTCACTTTATCTCTTTTCGAGGGATAATGCTTCTTCTCTTTTTGCTCAAGTAAGGTTTTGGGTTTTGTTCTAACTTCCAAAATCTAACCCTTTTGTTAAAATCTAATAGACAAGGATAAAGAAAAGTATATGAATTTTAACACCTATCCCATTCCTACCTACTAGTAATATTATTATTTTAGAATCGTATTCGTAAAAGATCACTTACGAATATCAGCCTTTAAGTTTGGAATAAAAGAGCTACATTATATGACTATTTATCATAACAATATTGCAATTAAAAGCATGTTTACCTTGTTAACAAATATAACATATGTTCAACCATTGTTTTAAGTAATATTAGTATAGTGGTTAAATGCAAGTTATATATGTTGATAATTCAATGAGAGTATTTTGGTTCTATTTTTTTTAAAAACAATTTTTAACATACTCTTACTAATGTTCTATGACTCCTGAATAAATTAAAGCAAGATGGCGGACCCACAGCCAATGTGGTGGGGGCAGCTGCCACCAGCAAAAAAAAAAAAAATTATTAAATATTATTAGAAAACAAAATCCGCCCCACCAAAAAAACTACTTTTCATCATTTTTTTTGTAAAGCCCATTAATCCATGTACCAAAAAAATATATATTAATATATAAATTAAATATTTATTAATTTAGACCTAATTTTTTGTTATTTTCTTCTTCTTTAGTCCTTTGGTTTATTTGTGTGACAACAAATCAACAACTATCAATTTGTGAGTTTATTTTCCTGCTTTTTTTACAATCGTTTCTATTATATAAGCATTATTTTTTAGTCAGTTAATTTTATTTAATCAGTTCAAGTTTATAACTATGTTTCCTGGAAAACATTATATAGGTTTCTATGTTATACATGACTATATTAGTTTTTGCAGTGATAATTGTTTATATGTTTATTCTATGATTAAGCTTTTATGGAAGTTTGTTACATAATTCAAAAATTTAAAATTAATAAATTTTAAAATATAAGTCTATAAATTCAAAATTTTCTAAATTTTAATCAATAACATTTTTTTTTTTTTAATTATTTGAATCTGTCACAAATGAAAATATGGTAAAAAGGTTTCAATTGTTAAATGAGCGTCTGAGTGGTTTTGTAAGATGTTTAAAGTTTTTACATGACAATTTTATGTCTTTTATAATTTAGTATTTGATAGTTTTTTTACTATATTTTTGCCCCCATTGAACAAATTTTCTAGATCCGCCCCTGAGATGGAGTTGTTATTTTTGTTAAAAATCAAGATGTTTTTCTTTATAAAATAATTACGAATATGTTTTGCTCAAAAAACAATAATAATATAAATACATGTAAAAACAGGATAATGTCTAAAACTTTTTTCTTCAGTTTTACAGAAAACAAAAGAAAAATATACTTTTTTGTACTTTTTCCCAGATACAAGAAGTACGCATTAAGCAGCTTATACAATATGATATTCCTCAATCCTCAGTCGGAAAAATAATTCTGCAATCTTACTTAAACCGAATTTTTTTTTTTATAATTAGTATTCCGTACTCTCTAGCTCTCACATGTTTACACTGCAAAGAGACCTGTCGCTACACTATATAGATCTATTATTAATTTTTATCATATACTACTACATGGGTTATAAAATTCAAAGTAATTAACTGACATAACGATCGATCAGACTAATAAACTCAATTGATATATGTTTCAAAACTATTGTTATAGAGTAGTTACGCAAGAAGCCTTTGGTTTGTTTAAAAGCATCATCACAATATGTAATTGGATACACTAGCCACATATTTTAAGAAAAAAAGAATACTTAAAGCATCGTTTACATATACAAAACCAAAAGTTTCATGGCGTGAACGTAGTAGCTAAAAATTACTAGCTGCACCGAACACATTATGACTCTACTTTAGTCTTTAGTACCGTACGTTTTGGAACACATGCAACAACTAAACTCCAGAGAGAGGCATAGTACTCTCTTATGAACACAACATTTTGGGCATCACTTTAGGGAGAGAATTGATATGAACTCCATAATAGCTATTCTCTTAATTAGTCTCAATAACATTTGCATTGACGCATTATATTTCATGTTCATGTGCATTGGATGGCATGCATTACACAATTTTGACCGAGCGCATGATACTTTAAACTCTTGTATCCCTTATACTATACGTGTTGTATACCGCAAGTTCTTAACTGTTTCTTCTAACCATAATTTTCTAGGTAGGCAAATTATATTTTGTTGGATATATAGGAAGTTAACCAAAGCGGTCCATGTTTTACCGCAACGTCGTCACCAAATGATTTGAAAGGAAAAGGGAAGAATAAAAATAAAAATAAAAAAGATGAAAAAGGGGAAAAGAGGAAGCAAAGGAGGAAGAAAGCTGCGTGCACCCATGTGAGATGCCACTTCTTTGCTCTGCCTTGAAGAATCAAACAATGATGAGTGGATGGATGGATGAGTCCTCCTCCTCTGTCTCTCTTTGAGCCTTTGATCCTAATACCACTCCTTAATATCTGCCCATCCTATCATTATTTCACAACGCATCTCTTTTTTACTTTTGTTATATAGTTTCTTGACTTTGTGTTTCTTAAAAAGGTTGTAACGTAATTTATGGTTTCCAATAGCACTGTCATCTATTTTAAAATCAGTAGTTGACTTGTAAACTACATATTACATTTTCTATGTTTTCGTATTAATTATATGGATTTTATAAATTGTATAATCTGTTTTCTTTTGTTAGTCTATCTCCAAATAATATCCCAAAAACGTACCTTAAATTTTGTCATCACTAATCAGAAAGAGATGGATTAGATTTGTTTCTTGCATTTGCATATGTCTGACCTTTCTACTAAATACTAATCAGCTGAGATATAACTAAATATTGCTCTTGTCACATGTTCTTTTTTTAATTCAATTGAGATGGTTTTTAAGTAAAGTACCCCTTATTTGTTTCTTGATCCCGGTTTAGAAGCTTACTCACACTTATCAATCCCGGTTTAGAAGCTTACTCATACTTAAACTTAAATCAATGACCCGGTTAGGTTAACATTAATCCGACGTCCAAATCAATGAGACTCTCCGTCACCGTCAAAGCCAATAAGCCGTCGTTTCTCATCTCTTGGATCCGATTCTCCTCCACGGCGTCGTCGTCGTCGTCACCGGCAGTCTCTTTGAATCCGGTAAACTTTTCGCACGCACGATTTTATGTATCTACGACTTTATATCTATTGTAATCATTATGAGTTTTTTTTTTCTTTGTTGTGGTTTATTGCTGTAGAGTGGACGATTACAGCAAACTCTTGCGGGATCTGTGGAGGTGAAAGGGAAAGCTCTGCATTCCGGTAAGGTTTCGAAGGTGAAGCTAATCCCGGAGATCACCGGAGCTGGTAGATATTTCGAGTTTCGATCCAAGTTCATCCCTGCGTCAATTGAATTTGCTCAGGAGTCGCCTCTTTGCACTACGCTGTTGAAAGATGAGCTCAAAATCCGAACAATCGAGCATTTGTTATCAGCTCTTGAGGCGAAGGGAGTTGATAATTGCAGGATTCAAATCGAGAGCGAACGTTCAGATGATCGAGAAGTCGAGGTTTGTTACCTGAATAGATACATTTTGAGTGAATCATTTTGTTGAATCAATGTCCCCCGTTGTCAATTTTGATTGGATTTGTATGCTATAGACTGTCAACATCTTGTTGTGTAGTGTAGCGCTTATTGATTTGACAGTGAAATTTTGTTTTAGAGACTTGGTTCATTGGATGAGATGAGTGTAGGCAACACTAACCAAGTGACAGGTCCCTATCTTTGATGGATCAGCTAAAGAATGGGTCGAAGCGATCGAAGGAGTTGGCATAAAGGTGGCTCAAAACCATGTTGGTGAAAGTATGGAGAAGATGGTAGCACATGTGAACAAGCCTGTGTACGTTTGCAAGTACGATTCTTTTGTTGCTGCATTTCCTGCTCTAGAGACTCGCATTACTTGTGGTATCGACTTCCCACAGGTTCGGTCTAATGGTATTTTGAGAGTACAGAAGAACACAAACTTCTGTATCCTGTTTGTGCATAGACCGTTGTTGACTCGGTCTTTGGTGTATGATGATGAACTTTACAGGTGCCTGCTATAGGCTGCCAATGGTTTTCTTGGAGACCTGTCCATGAGTCTTCTTTTGCAAAGGATATCGCACCATCAAGAACCTTCTGTGTCTATGAAGAGGTTAGTTCCATTGTTGTTGCTTAGGAGCTTTAGAATCAGTAAACTGGTGTTCCTTCTTCAACCATCTGTGTCTGAGGGTTTTGTTTGCAGGTGGAGCGCATGCGTGAAGCAGGGCTCATTAAAGGAGGTTCTCTAGATAACGCCATCGTTTGTAGGTAAATAGTTTTGCATTTTGATGACTTAAAGGGGAAAAATGTTCAACTGAAGCCATCTCTAATGCAGTGCCAAGCATGGATGGATGAACCCTCCTCTGCGATTTGATAATGAAGCATGTCGACATAAGATCCTTGACATAATTGGTGACCTCTCCCTTGTAGCACAAGGTGGAAATGGAGGACTTCCCGTGGCTCACATAGTCGCATATAAGGCAAATGTTTTTTGAACATCTTCTAATTTTCTTGACAATTAAAGAGAGAACATTTTTCTAACCGAAAGGCTTTATTTTCTTTCAAATGCAGGCGGGTCATACACTGCACACTGACTTAGCACGTCATCTCACCATCGACTAAAGAATATGTGGTCGTTGTGAACCATATTCCGCATAAGTTATGATCCTTTCTGTTTTGGTTTTTGGTTTCATTTTCGAAAGATCAACCCAATATGGGGGTTTTAGCTCAATCGAGTTTCAATACTTTGAATACATTAATTGTTAAACAAAGTAAATACACATTTGATCGTTGTTTCCATTGTAAGGTTCAGTTTATTTCCCAAGTTTTTCCTAATTCACTATGAGACCTGATCTTTTCTCGTAGTTAATTTTGGCAATTTCTTCCAAAAATCACAGGATACTTTAGGGGATAAAAACTCGTATGGTTTCAAATGCATTGGTAGGATTGGATATATAACAGTTGTACTTGTATTCGTTTGGATAGTTGGAACTAAACATTTTTTTAGAGCCGATATTGAAAACCTAGTAAAGTTTTGGTTTGCAAAAGACTACTATACGCTAATGTTTATGTTACTCTGTTTTTAGATAAACTTTTACATGAAGATGTCACTGTACCAAAGTTAATTACATGAAGATACTAATGAGTAAAGAAAAATGGAAAGAATTTGGTTTTTCTGAAATTGAGTATATATATATTGATTATTTTCCACACAAAGAAAATGAATTAAGAGTATTTATTTTTATATACGGAACCCTAACATATATCATAATAGTCAAAAACAAGAAGACACAAAATTGGAAAAATGACGAGGGCCGGCAGAAAAAAAGTTGGAAGAAGAATGAAGAGGACGAGGATCTGCGATCTTCCACCTCCTTTGTTAGGGGAGAAGATACTCACGAGGGTTCCGATAACATCTCTGGGAGCTGTGAGATCCACTTGCAAATTGTGGAACGCTTTAACCAAAGATTGGGTTTTGGGTAAAGCTTCAGCGCCAAGGCAGCAGTATTTAGGTGTTTATGACGATGGATTCAAAAGTTTGTTCAATTAGATTCCATAGTAGAAAGAAAGAAGAAGAAGAAGAAGAAGCCTACTTGGTTATAGAGCAGGTAGATTTGCTTAATCAAGTCAAGATATCTATTGTGCATCACTGCGACGGCTTACTGTTATGCGTCGTTGAGGACAAGTCGAGGCTGGTGGTTTGGAACCCTTATTTGGGGCAAAAAAGGTGGATCAGACTTAGCAACGATTTCCACTGGCGAGACAGGTATGCTTTCGGATACGACATGAACCGTAACCACAAAATCCTGAGGTTTCAGGAATATTATGCCCATTCAGAAACAGTTTCCAGGTGCGAAATCTACGAGTTGAGCTCTAATTCATGGAGGGATCTCAAGGTCCATTCCGATGCTTTGATAGAGTTTAGTTATTGCGCGTCTGTGAAGGGAAATGCCTACTTTTTTGCTCAAGAAGATGATCGGACATCTGAAGAGATATTTGATCTTGAAGATTTCTTACTCTGTTTTGATTTCACAACAGAGACATTTGGTCCTCGTCTGCCTCTTCCGTTTCACTCTACTCTCCACGCGCCTGTGACTTTCTCTAGTGTTAGAGACGAGCAGCTCGTGGTGCTATATCATAATGAGGGTGTTCATTATGATCGGGTTAGCACAGTTGAGTTTTGGGTTACTACTAAGATCGAGCCCAACTCTGTGTCCTGGAGCAAGTTTTTGATAGTGAACATGAGACCATTCTCTCTCACTGGTGAACGGTTTGACAATACTAATATGGGCGGGACCTTCTTCATTGACGAGGAACAGAAACTCGCTGTGGTGTTCGACATAGACGGATACCTAGCCCCCATTCCCCCCCTTACCGAGAAAGTTCGTTACCACACAGCTTTTATAAGTGGAGAAGACGGATACTTCAAACCTCTGACTCTTGGAGTCGCTCCTAATCTCGGGTTAGATGATCTTGTTTCCGGGCGTAGTTATGTGTCCAGTATATACCGTCCCCCGGTTGTGTGCTCTTCTTCTTACCTTCCGAGTTTGGTCCGACTCAACCAACTGCGCAAAAGGAAACAAAGACATTTTTAGTTTTTGTTTCTTTTCATGTCTCAAGACTGCTAGTTATCACATCACTTCTCAGTTTCGTTTCTATTTTATCAGGGTTAATAAGTAGACGATTTCAGCTTTTTCTCATTCCTCCTTGTTCTTGTCATGGACCATATATAGTTAAAGTTTCTTGATTTCTTTTCGTCATTGAGATGGTTAAGTACCTTATTTGTTTTCTTGCACTGTCGTCCTCTGGTAGTCAATTTATCAAGACGATTGTTCTAGCCACTTTTTCACTTGTCTGTTTGAAAAATTCCATAGCCAGACATAAAACACATCTCTCGTTTATAAATTTTGATTTTGTCACATTTGAGGGCTCTGTTTCTTGTGCAACCAGATATGACAATATTACTTGACAGCACATCAGTTGGATTAGTTGTGCAATTTTATGAAACTACATTATATTGACTCAAGAAGTGCTGATTCAACAATTCGGGTTGTTTCAGATGACCATTAAGTACTACTAGTACCAAGTATGCTCAGGCTGTTATCTATGTTAAAATAGCAGTTGTAGATGACATCTATGAAGCCATGATGGTAAAAAACACATTTGATCCTTTGTTTCCAGTGTAAGGTTCAAGTTTATTTCCCAAGTTTTTCCTAATTCACCATGAGACCTGATCTCTTCTCTTAGCTAGTTAAGTAGTCTCTTCCAAAAATTAAAGGTTAATTTGGGGGATTACAAAGTCGTGGCATGGTTTCAAATGCATGGGCTTGGGTAGGATACATAAAACAGATGTACTTGGATTCGTTTGCGTAAATTGAAACTTTAAATTTGGAGCTGCTTACATTGTTTTTTATCTATCAAAAGTGGTAATGTTTTGGTTTACACAACACTACTTTATAACTACTGTATGCTAATGTTTGTGTTGCTCTGTTTTTATATTGCGTAGCTTCTATGTTCAAAGGTATGACAGATTTGAGTTGTCCACATTTCTCTAGAGCTGGTTACATTTCTTTGAAAACCTTGTAATGTTTTGGTTTGCAAAACACTAATGCACAAATTATGTTGCTCTGTTTTAAAAAAAAAAAACGTTAGATGAAAATAACATCGTATCAAAGCTAAATATTGAAATCAGGATGAAGCTAATTAAACAAAAATGCAAACAATTTGATTATCTATTTTTCTTAAATTAAATGTACATTTTACACATAAGAGAAGGAATAGAGTTTTTTTTTCCTTTTCTTTTTTTGTGAATACGGAAACTAACATACATTACAGTATTACACATATATCATCATAATTGTCTCAATAAATAAATAAAAAAGCAAGATACAGAACCCTAGTAATTTCTATTGCGTAGCTTCTGTTGAACAGTTGGAAATATGACGAGGGCCGGCAAAAAAAAAGTTGGAAGAAGAATGAAGAGGACGAAGATCTGCGATCTTCCACCAAAATTGGTAGGGGAGAAGATATTAACGAGGGTTCCGATAACATCTCTGCGAGCTGTGAGATCCACTTGCAAATTGTGGAACGCTTTATCCAAAGATTGGGTTTTGGGTAAAGCGTCAGCGCCAAGGCAGCAGTTTTTGGGGTTTATGACGATGGATTCCAAAGTTTGATCAATTAGATTCCATAGTAGAAAGAAAGAAGAAGAAGAAGAAGACTACTTGGTTATAGAGCAGGTAGATTTGCTTAATCAAGTCAAGATATCTATTGTGCATCACTGCGACGGCTTACTGTTGTGCGTCGCTGAGGACAAGTCGAGGCTGGTGGTTTGGAACCCTTATTTGGGACAAACAAGGTGGATCAGACCCAGCAACAATTTCCACTGCCAAGACAGGTATGCTTTCGGATACGACATGAACCGCAACCACAAAATCGTGAGGTTTCAGGAATATTATGCCCATCCAGAAAAAGTTTCCAGGTACGAAATCTACCAGTTGAGCTCTAATTCATGGAAGGATCTCAAGGTCCCTCCCGATGCTTTGATAGAGTCTAATTATAGCGCGTCTGTGAAGGGAAATGCCTACTTTTTTGCTCAAGAAGATGATCAGACATCTGCTGAAGAGATATTTGATCTTGAAGATTTCTTACTCTGTTTTGATTTCACAACAGAGACATTTGGTCCTCGTCTGCCTCTTCCGTTTCACTCTACTCTCCACGCGCCTGTGACTTTCTCTAGTGTTAGAGACGAGCAGCTCGTGGTGCTATATCATAATGAGGGTGTTCATGATGATTGGGTTAGCACAGTTGAGTTTTGGGTCACTACTAAGATCGAGCCCAACTCTGTGTCCTGGAGCAAGTTTTTGATAGTGAACATGAGACCAGTCTCTCTCGCTGGTGAACGGTTTGACAATACTAATATGGGCGGGACCTTCTTCATTGACGAGGAACAGAAAATCGCGGTGGTGTTCGACATAGACGGATACCTAGCCCCCATTCCCCCCCTTACCGAGAAAGTTCGTTACCACACAGCTTTTATAAGTGGAGAAGACGGATACTTCAAACCTCTGACTCTTGGAGTCGCTCCCAATCTCGGGGAACCTTGTCTCATATCCGGGCGTAGTTATGTGCCCAGTATATACCGTCCCCCGGTTGTGTGCTCTTCTTCTTACCTTCCGAGTTTGGTCCAACTCAACCAACCCCGCAAAAGGAAACAAAGACATGTTTAGTTGTTGTTTCTTTTCATGTCTCAAGACTGCTAGTTATCACATCACTTCTCTGTTTCGTTTCTATTTTATCAGCGCTAATATATAAGTAGACGATTTCAGCTTTTTTCATTCCTCCTTGTTCTTGTCATGGACCATATATGGTTGAAGTTTCTTAATTTCTTTTCGTCATTGAGATGGCTAAGTACCTTATTTGTTTTCATGCATTGTCGTCCTCTTGTAGTCAAGACGATTGTTCTAGCCTCTTTCCCACTTGCAAGATAACTTTATATACCTTATTTGTTTTCTTGCATTGTCGTTCTCTGGTAGTCAATTTATCAAGACGATTGTTCTAGCCTCTTTCTCACTTGCAAGATTACTTTATATACCACAACTGTGTGAATTGCACCATCCCCATGCAAAGCATGACATGGTTTTTAAGTATTGTCAGTCCAATTTTGGGGTAAACAACTTCAATTGTCAATTTCTGCCTTTACTTTAAGGAAAGCCAGTATATGATAATACAAAAGTGATCTCTGATGTTATCTCATGCAATGTATGTATTAAACTATTTATTGTTCAATATTAAACTATTTAAATGTCCCTATAAAAATTCAGTTTGAAAAATTCCATAGCCAGACAATAAACACATCTCTCGTTTATAAATTTTGATTTTGTCACATTGCTTTGTAACGCTGAGGGCTCTGTTTCTTGTGCAACCAGATATGACAATATTACTTGGACAGCACATCAGTTGGATTAGTTGTGCAATTTTATGAAACTACATTATATTGAGTCATTGACTCAAGAAATGCTAATTCAACAATTTGGGTTATTTCAGTCAAGGAAGTGCTGCCTAGGACCCGAATTGTAATGTACCTTTTACACATAAGAGAAAGGAATAGAGTTTTTTTTTTTCCTTTTCTTTTTTTGTGAATACGGAAACTATCATACATTCCATTACACATATATCATAATTGTCAAAAAAAAAAAAAAAAAAAAAAAAAAAGGAAGACACAACCTAGTAATTTCTATTGCGCAGCTTTTGTCGAAAAGTTGGAAAGATGACGAAGAGGACGAGGATCTGCGATCTTCCACCAAAATTGCTAGGGGAGAAGATACTCACGAGGGTTCCGATAACATCTCTGCGAGCTGTGAGATCCACTTGCAAATTGTGGAACGCTTTATCCAAAGATTGGGTTTTGGGTAAAGCTTTAGCGCCAAGGCAGCAGTATTTAGGGTTTTTGACGATGGATTCAAAGGTTTGTTCAACTAGATTCCATATCTGCCGCAGCAGCAAGGACAAAGACGAAGAAGAAGACTTGGTTGATCTATCTATAAAGCAGGTAGATTTGCTTAATCAAGTCGAGATATCTAAAGTGTATCACTGCGACGGCTTATTGTTATGTGTGGCTAAGGACAAGTCGAGGCTCATGGTATGGAACCCTTATTTGGGGCAAACAAGGTGGATAGCACCAACAACATATTTCCACAGACTAGACATGTATGCTCTCGGATATGACAAGAACAACCGTAACCACAAAATCTTGAGGTTTGTAGATTATTCCACAGAACGCCTTGTCATGTACGAAATATACGACTTGAGCTCTAATTCATGGAGGGTTCTCGACGTCACTCCCGACTGGGATATAGATCCTTGTCAAGGTGGTGTGTCTGTGAAGGGAGACACCTACTTTTATGCTCATGAGTCAATAGGACCTGGCTTTTCTGGTGGAGAGTACCTGGGAAATGGAGATTTATTGATCGATGACAATGAGATTCAAGATTTCTTGCTCTGTTTTGATTTTACAAGAGAGACATTCGGACCTCGTCTACCTCTTCCATTTCACTCTTGCGGTACACTAAACACTGTGACCCTCTCATGTGTTAGAGACGAGCAGCTCGCTGTGCTATATCAGGAGGGTTGTCATGATAGTCAATGTAACATAGTTCCTATTTGGGTTACAACTAGGATTGACCCCAACTATGTCTCCTGGAGCAAGTTTTTGAATTTGGAAATGAGACCATTCGCACGCACTGGTGTTCGCTTTGACTATCATTCGGGTGGAACCTTCTTCATTGACGAGGAAGAGAAAGTAGCTGTGGTGTTCGACATAGACGGATACCTACCCTCCCTTACCGAGAAAGTTCGTTACCACACAGCTTTTATCATTGGAGAAGAGGGATACTTCAAATCTGTGAGTCTCGGAGTAGCTCCCAAAGTCGCTGAACCTAGCAGGTCTGGGTATGTCCCAGAGATTTATTGTCCCCCGTGTGTGTGCTCTTCTTCTTATCTTCCGAGTTTAGTGCAACTCAACCAACAGCGCAAAAGTTATGTTTAGGTTTTGTTTCTTGCTTTTGTCAGACCGCTTTACTCAAATTTTCCAGTCAGTGAGTTTCGTTTCTATTTATCACCTTTATAATAAGTAAAACATATTATTTAGGCATTTTCATGTATTACCTTTCTACTCTTTTTGATTGCTCCGTTACTTATGTTTCTTGCATGGTAAGTACAGGAAAAGGTACTCCTTCTCAACTTTTTCTCATTTAAGAAAAAACAAATCAAGTTTCGAATTAGTAGTTGCAACTTATTTTACTGTTAGACAAAATACGTATGGAGTAAACTATAAGTTGTTTGTTTCTGCTTTAACTTAAGGGAAAGCCAATAATAATTGATCTCTGATCTTATTCATGTATGAGATGTCCAACACCACTTATGAATACTATTGAGCCTTTTCAGGTTCGTCCTGAAGTGAAATAAGTACTATAAAAATTCCAGGTTGCTACTGAGCTAGGAACTAAATAAAAACTGTGAGGTGCGCGTCCGTTTTTCACTATGCATGCGTGAATCAACATAGCTTTCTGTTTTAAATTTCACAAATTAAGTAAAAGTGGAGGAACAAATCAAATCTATATGATAGAAACAATGGAAGAAAGACCAAGGAACATTTTTGCGTTAGCAAACATTATTACAACAAGGCACAAACATTATTCTCATTCAGGCTAGTCTATGTCAGCTTCTCAGATTCCTTTTTCTCTACGAGTTTGATGAAATTGCGGACAATTGTCTTGCCTTCAGTTGTTATAATACTCTCCGGATGAAATTGAACTCCCTGTGAACAAATTTTACAAGACTTCAAGACTTCTGTTTTTGAATGGACGAGGCAATAAGATACATGAAAACACTAGAGTGAGCTTTACCTGTATATGCTTGTACTTCCTGTGACGGGCAGCCATAACCAGACCATCTTCTGTCCATGCAGTAACCTCGAGTTCCTCACTGGGAAATGTATCTTTTTCGATCACGAGACTGTGATATCTACCTACAAGGAAAGGGCTGAAAACAACAGACACCAACAAGATTTGTTTTGTTATTACACATTTACAGACGTATGACTAACTATACAATACAACACCGAAAAACCTGACTCATACTTGGATAATCCAGAGAACAAGCCTTCTTCTCCTTTCTCATCATAGTGAACCATTGAGCTTTTCCCATGCATAACACCAAATGGTGACCGCACAATCTTTCCTAATAAAATTAAGAATTAAACCATGGTTTTAGAACACTGATACGGGAAAATAAGATGTCTTCTTTATATGCAACTAACCTCCAAATGCTTCCCCTATACACTGCAAACCCATACATACTCCAAATAAAGGAACACTTGGTCCGAGTTCCAAAACAGTTTGCAACGAAATCCCAGAGTCTTGAGGGGTACCTATCAAATTAAAGAAAGGTGTTAGCTTCTTCTCCAGCGTTTCAAAAAGATACACCACATAATCAAAAAAAAAATATTCAGAGGCCAAAATATTTACCAGGTCCAGGAGATATCAACACCCCTCTTGGATTTTTACTGCAAAGAAGAGAGCACAATAAAGGAATCAACACCAATTGGTTAGCCAGATTACGTTTTAAACAGAACACATATTGTTTCCCTCTTACCTTTTCAACTCCTCTACTGTAAGTTCATCATTACGGTAAACTTCAAAATGGCATCCTAGCTCTCCCATATACTGTAGGCAAAGATACAATTCAAAATTTTGCTAATACTAAAAGCAGAAGAAAGAGAACGATTACGATAAAAAGTATGCACCTCAAACGCAGAGAACTATAAGTAAGCCATTATCAAATTTGTACATTTGGGATCTACATATATGCGTCATGTGAGATATTCATAGCAGCCAAAATTTTATGAGAAAGTGAGTTATTTCAAAAACGAATAACCAAATTCTTTAGTCAACAATAGCAACTCACACAATTCAAACTTTGAGCAAGGTTAAAGATTCTACATAAAGGACCAGACTTTAGGGAGCAAAAAAAGTGACGTATTAGCTTTTGCTGAATCAAACAATTGCTCCTGACAACGACAAACAAGCAACGAGGAGCATTTCCAAACAAAAACACCATTCCCCATAGAAGTAAAGTTTTTCCACAATAAAAAAGAGAGAATCTACATTAAGTAGGTCGCATGTCGAAACTATATTGGATTGTGAAATAACGAGATTTCTAACAATCAATCAAAATGCATACTTGAATACATATTTCTAACAAGAACAAGGACTTGCAATTTAGCCAGGACCCTAATCGATTAAGACATGGCTGACCAAAAACCAAAATTACAAAATTCTCAGTTTCGAAATGAAACCTGGCAGAGATTGTAAGTGAAGCTGTCGTAATTATCAATGACGATGATAGGACCGTTCTGCTTAGAGGAATTGACAACAGCGGAAGGTGTGGAGTTCGATGCCGCCATTTCAATCGAAGCTTTCGCAAAGACATCTCTACGACTCTTCCCCAAAACCGAAACTCCTAATCACGGAGGGAAACAAAACAGATTAAAAATCGGAACTTTTGATTCGAAGAACGCATCTATCTATCTTGAAACAAAGAACAGAGAATCCTTACTCGTCGGATTCAGAATAGGATTAACGAGAGAAGGGTTTAAGCGGCGAGTGGTGGAACCGGACTTGGGTTGAAGAAGACAAGACTTGTACAATGTAGTAGCCGCCATTGTCGGAAAACAAAGAAAAGATCCTTACGTTGTTGATTCCAAAAGAGAGGAGAGTTTATAAAATGCTCTGAGAGGTTTGACAGGTGAAACGGTGCGTTTTTGTGGAACATGAACCACGTGCCTAATCAGTAGGTAAAGTCAGTTAATTTGATCTTAATCAGTATTGTTTGGTCAAAGTCAAATATCATATATTTTTCTAAATTGGCGTTTGGAATTAGTCTACTTCGCCACAGGGCATTACTGTCGTCACATACTAAGATGGGATACCTAACCTAAAATATAGATTATAAAAAATGATAAAAATAATATTATAAATGTAATTTACATGTTTCTTTCTTAATGTATAATCCCTTGACCATTCTTAATGAAATTTTTTTTTTCCTAATCTTGACGATGGCCAAACATATTTATTAGATTGATATGTATGGTACGAACCTCCAAATTTTTTGGTATGTGTTTGTTTGGTCCCCCATGGAGAATAATCAAAGGATAGAAAAAGAATTTGCCTTTAATTTAGTTTACACCATAGTTTAGCTAAATCAGCTGTGATCAATCCCATTACGAGGATGGCTCCTCCATCCATATTCTGCATGGACTTCAAAGTATATTCTCTCATATTTTACTTGAATTTTTCGGAGACACTCATAAGGATCATGTAGACTTAATTTTATGTGCTTCAATTGATTGATTTTTTCATGTGAATTTACAATGGGAAATAAAAGTCAGTGTCTAACATTTTTGATGTGTCCCACTTGTGCAATATATTGCCGGAGACATCATAGAAAGCGATACCCATTTCGGTTCTAGTTATCTTAACTGACATGAAACCTTGTCCATCGTAGAAGAATTCCATATCTTCTGGTGTTGTCCACTTGTAGTAACCTCTCCATGCCTTTGACCCACCACCACTAGTTAGAAACTGGATTGGACTGCAAGAAAGTGATAAGACAAAATTATCCACAATTACGTACCTGCTTTAATTTTATCCAAACACGCAGCTTCAGTTTCTAATGTATATGACAATTGATTGGTGTTACCTTTGAGATGTGCTAATATGTTGCAAGCAATGATCATGTCCGTTCATGTAGAGATCAACTTTATTCGCCTGAAAAATCCAATAATCTTTACATGTTTACAATAGTGTGTTTTTTCTTTTCCGAATGCAATAGTGGTTAAGAAGAAAATGAACCTCAAGGATGGGTAAGAGGAGAGCTTCAAGCTCTTTTGTGTTCCCATGAATAGAAGCACTCTTTATAGCATGATGACCCACCACGATTTTCCAGTTTGCTCTTGATTCTCTTAGACCCATCTCCAACTCCTACACATTATAATCGGATCGTCATCAAGATAATTCCTACAAACTGATAGTAAAGACATATATTGTTTGTTTCCATCAAGTACCGTTAAAATGGTCTGAATATAGGATTCTCGCGGTGATACTCCGCTCCAGTCGTAATTTTGGTCTTGTGGATTGAGGAAATATGCATCTACAAATGGAGTTGTGTCGACAAAGAAGAGCTCTGCGACCTCTGCCCAAGTTTAGATACAAGAAGTGGAAACCCATTAATATGATTTATGTAACAAAAACATGCAAGATATATTATAAATATTTATATATGTAATATTTATATAGGGCTAGCTAGTACCAGCGTCTACGATGAAGGATCTCATGCAAGTCCAACGGCTATCTATTGATCTGAGGGCAGGACTCAACTGTGCTTCAACATCTCCTCTATAGTCATGATTCCCCAAAACTGAATACCATGGTTTTTGCAAGCTAGAAGACGTATAGATATTGGTGAAGGAAAGTTGAAAGGCGGGATCGTCGATGCTTTCCATCCCATTATCGTAAATGTTATCTCCCGTCGATACCACAAAATCGATATCCATCTTCTCCCCGATTCTCCCCATCTATATGTCTCCATCAAAACAATCCTATTAAGTATAACAAACATGGGTATATATATAGTATGTTATATGTAATTTTAGTACCTGGAGGGCAACTTGCGATTGGTTGTAGAGTCCACGCCTACCCCAATCTCCAATCACCAGAAAACTGATTGAGCCATCGGGGTTTGGTGCATGTTCAAGCGTTGTGAACTCGGCCTCAAGTTTTGGAGCCATAGATAATAGTATAAAACAGAGAAGCAGAGTCATCACTGTGCTTAAGGAGCCGCCGATATCAGACTGAGAACCCATTCTAATATTTTTGCATAACGAGCTTTATGTGATAGAAAGCAACATACTTATACATATATAAGTCGACTGTGCAATGTGCATGTGAGTGCTAGTGGGTTTCTCGCTTGTAAGTCACATTTGGATAATAGCGTCCACATGGTGGACCAACAAGATTATTATATATATCTGGATCTTAATTAAGCTCTAGTATAGTTGTTTCTCTTTTTATATCTTCTATATTTTTCTTTTGTTAAAGGGTTTAACTTATCTATATTGCTTTCCTCCAACTTTAAACTAAAAAATTCGTTAATCTTGCTTTATATTTCTTTTATCACAGAATAACACACACAAAACTTTGAATTAACAAAGTTTTCTAACCATTTGGCCATATATAATCTTGTTTATTTAGAAAAATTAATTGAACTCACCGTCAAACTCAAAACAAATACTTTATTGTTTTGCTTTTATAACACTTAAATATATTTGCATGCTTTATCAATCGCCACGTGAATAATATATACAAGACAAAAAAGCTTTGAATTATTAAGAAGCTTGTGAAGTGTGATTTGATTCTTAAATGCGAAGAATGCGTTTAATATTTGAGTGATGAGTACGTAGAACTGTAGATATATATGTCTCGGAAAGAAAAAAAGAAATTGAGAAATAGAAGAAGATAAATGATGCCCATACGCAATGATGCTTTACCTGTCATGTCTCTTAAAACAGCTTCGCAGATATGCCAACTACGCATATGTTGGTCTCTGCTCTCTACCCCGAATCAAACTTTCTACCAAAAGCAAAACAACAAAATAATTGCATCACCATATCATTTATATATCTTTATTACCTCATCTGTTTTATCCAATGATATTGCTCAATTATTAGTTTTCCCAAATTCAATAATATAACCAAAAGAATAAAGAATTCATTACAGAAAGCATATAAGAATTTAACATCCAACCATTTTTCATATACTGTATAAACAATTTTACTAACTAGCTCTTAAATGCTGAAAAGGGTATAAAAAGAAATGTATTATGCAATACTAAAAGATGTCACGAAATTTAAAAGCTTAAATTACTACAATGCATGACAATATAACGTAATATTTTGGGTTCAAATCTACAAAAACAAGAGTGATGCACACAAGGGATACTAGAAACAGATTAAACACACACACACAAAAAAATATAAAAGGATTTGTTTTAGGATTTCTTAAGTGTTAAACAAATCAAATTCATAAACCAAAGAAAAAGCAAGACACTAAAATAAACTAAGTTAGAAGACTAGCAAAGTTAACATGTGCAATAAGAAGTAATTAAACATGATTAGCAAAAAATAGAAAATATTGGATCATATATGCAAGATCATTAAACAGAACTCTAAAACATGAAGCTCACATATATGACTAGTCCACTTTGTTTACCGTCAGCCGCCACCGTACATTAGGGGTCAAAGAATATGTTGTGTGGTCTAAACATGCGTGACATTGTCACATTGTGTTATGGAACCCGAATTGACGGCTGCATTTGATCAGAGGTCTCAGTGAAAATTACTACAAGTCCAAATTATATCTAAAATAGGCTACTACTATAGTTAGAAAACTTGGTTAGTACTTAAAATATATGGAATCAACTAAGACCTGACACGTTGACACGGATGACTAAACCTCCGGCCAAGAGGATCTCTCATATATTGATTCGTGTGCCAAAAAAGATTAAAGGTGAAAATAGCAATGGATCCGGTGACTTTTGGAATCATAGTTGGACTTATCATTCTCTTCGTCTGCATAGTTTGCTTCATCACCATTGAAGCCACTTGCATGCGCCGCTCTTCATCTAGATAAGATGTTTCTTTCTTGCTCAATCGTTTTTCTTTTCATCAAGCACACACACATTCATTTATTGATGATCCAAAATTTGCAGAATTTTTTTTTGGGTCAGTTAGAGAAATTGCTGAGGTGTGTGTGTGTCTATTCAGGCTCAATTATTGTTACTAATTTGATTGGAAAACGTCTTTTAAGTTTACAGTTTTGTAACCGGAGATCTCGTATTTTCTATCTTCAAATTTTGGTTAGAGTAATTTTCTAACGAATCTTTGGATGCATCTTGTTGTAACTTGTAAGGTGAGTTTTTGCATAACTTGTATGTAGTTATCGTCATATGAATATAATTACATGGGATAAATATCTCTATGGTAGTTGTTTGTGACAATACTACCTTGCATGTTTATTTTAAATTTTATCTTAAGAAGTTTATCATTTGAATTTTGTAATTGTGAATATGAAACTTTATACTTTTTTTTTTCTTTTCCTGCCAACCTCTTATTCTTTGAATCACAATTTCACGCACAGTACTTGATGTCGTTATGCGAAATCAGTATGCAGTGCTTTAGTTTTGCAAATGTAGTTAAATTAAGCTTCACCTTTAACAAAAAGGTCTGGGTGGTGTAGTCGGTTATCACGCTAGTCTCACACACTAGAGGTCCCCGGTTCGAACCCGGGCTCAGACACTTTTTATAAAAACGCTTGTACAGTCCGAAGACTTCTAGTCTTGTTGTAGAGACCGAGTACTTCTGAAATGTTGCTAGCTTCGGTTCTTGATCAGTATCATAACTCATAAGATAAGAAAAAATATAATAAGATGATGAAACGAAACCGTGTGTCTTTAGGCCAGCCGACGTGCCCAAAACTAAGCAAAAACGTGTCTTGATCACACGTGCCTGGTGCCAGCTTTCAATTTCTATACTTGTTTTAAAATCAAAAACAAACGAAAAACCGGTTACAACGGTCAAAAGCAAGGGTGGCAAAAGAATTAAAACTTAAAATAGGGACAACAAGGAAAGGCTTTGGTTTGAGAGAAAGAGATCAGAGAGGAAAGGGCAAAGAAGGAGGAGGAGGAGGAGGAGGAGGCTGATGATGAAGCTGTGGAAACGGGCTTCCGGTGCTCTCAAAGACCGGAAAAGCTTGTTTTCCATCGGCTTCTCCCGGAAAACCTCCTTCCGCAACCCTGACCTTGATTCCGCTATCATCCACGCTACCTCTCACGACGACTCATCTGTTGATTACCGCAATGCTCACCGTGTCTACAAATGGATCCGCTCCTCTCCCGCCAATATCAAGCCGCTTGTTCATGCCCTTTCCTCTAGGGTTAACCGCACAAGAAGCTGGATCGTTGCCTTGAAAGCCCTTATGCTTGTCCACGGTGTGCTTTGCTGCAAAGTCTCGTCCATTCAAGAGATTCGTCGCCTCCCTTTCGACCTCTCGGATTTCTCGGATGGCCATTCCCGTCCCAGCAAGACTTGGGGTTTCAATGCTTTTATTCGTGCCTACTTCTCGTTTCTTGACCAATACTCTTTCTTTATGTCCGAGCAAATGCGTCGCCGCCACAAGAAACCTCAGGTTGATTCGGTTAGCCAAGAGCTCGAAAGGATCCAGAAACTCCAGTCTCTTCTCCATATGCTGCTCCAAATCCGTCCAATGGCTGATAACATGAAGAGGACGCTAATCCTTGAAGCCATGGACTGCGTGGTGATTGAGATCTTCGACATTTATGGAAGAATCTGCAGCGCTATCGCCAAACTTCTCATAAAGATTCATCCAGCTGCTGGAAAAGCAGAAGCTGTGATGGCTCTTAAAATTGTAAAGAAGGCTACATCTCAAGGAGAAGACCTCGCGCTATACTTTGAGTTCTGCAAGGAATTCGGGGTCTCAAATGCGCACGAAATCCCTAAATTCGTTAGCATCCCAGAAGAAGACATTAAAGCAATCGAGAAAGTTATCAATGGAGTCGAAGAAGAGGAAGAGGAGACAAAGAAGGAGGAGATGGAAGTAGAGGAAGAGAAAGGTATCATATTAGTTGAGAGACCAGAGTTGCGAACAATCATAACCGATAAATGGGAAGTTTTTGAAGACGACTTGTGTTTCACAAGTAAGGAGATTACAGAAAATGATCAGCATAGAAAGTATAACGTGGATCCGAGTCCGCTGCCTCTTATAGTTATCGACGAGCCAGTTTACTTCACTCACACGTTACCAGATTTGATTACCTTCTAATTGCAATTTTTATCAGATTCATTATTATTTTTTTCGGTTTTCCTTTTGTGCTTTTTCTGCTATTTTGTTGAATATGTGGATGATAATAAACGTTAGACAAACATTAAGTTTTCTTATAAGATACCTTTTAGTACAACATATTTTTGATATGTTCATTAAGGCATTTGAGAATCCGTCTTTGAGATGTTAATATGTGCTAAGAGTGCATGAGTCCAATAGTTTTACCCGTTGAAACTGTTTAAAAGCTTATATATACAATACACTAGATGGTTGAAGTCCAACGTAACTAGTATATTTGGTTTACGCATGAAGATAGTTTTGTTAGGATTGGATCAACATACCATGCATAGTACTTTTTTTTTTACCATGCATAGTACTACTTTTCGTTAATTCAATTACGGTCAATATATTAGGTTTTAATGACATACTGAGATATTGGTAACATTTGCATTAAAATCCATACAACCACATCATCTAGTGCTAATATTGTTTACGGCGGGTAAGATTATGATCTATAGTATGAGCTCTATAAAGGACATAAGTCTGATGCTTCTTCTTCTTCTTCTTCTTCTTCTTCTTCTTCTTAAGTCTGATGATTATACATGTTCAGTCTATATATACTGATTCCACCTTTCCTTCTCACAAGTTATACCGACCAATCATATTCCCCTTAAATAGGACCATTTGGTTATCGCTTTTAACTTGTCCGTTATTAGGTTTTAATGTTACTTAAAAGTTTTTATTAAAAACAATTAATCTGTTTCTCATATACAACTTAATAATAGTTTTTTCTATACATATGTTTAAGTAAAAATAAATAAAATCGGCCAATGTTTAAGGGTATATATTTGCAGCGCCTCTTTTACCACTTTTGCATGGTGAGTATTTTAATGTCTTTTTTATTTGGTAGTAGAAAGTTAATCATTTTGATTTTGACTTCTTTGATATGAAATGTTTGTAAATTTGTAATGAAAGCAATAACGTAGATGACAAATCGCTATCGATCATAAGAAATGGTATGGCCAAACCAACGACTTTAAGAATGGATCATTATTTTTTTTTATAGTACTTTCTCACTAATAATTATAACCCCAACCAAAATTACTTTTAAAAAAGCATAAACCTTTATATAGATTTGTAAATGGTGAATAAAATAAAACTATAGGGCAAACAGACTAATTGGCTTCATCCGCGACTACCATTAACATCCAAAAATAGAAACATGGAGAGGGAGTGGATTTGGATTTGAGGATAATAGCATCGAGTAGAGAGTAGGGTTAAAGGGCTTTCCCGCCCATGTGGCCATGTGGTCATAAGATATGTAATGGCTTTCTATGTAGATTACGACGTAGAGACAATGTCAATTTTCTAAATTATATAGTAGTATCATTTAAATGCTTTGAACCTTTCTTTTTTTTTTTGTTACTTTATGGGTTGTCGATAAAACTTTTCACCTCCTCCATCGTTACTCCTTGAAAAGCAAAAAGCCGATGGGACCAAGTCCCATGTTATCATGACTCCTCTTCGTTAAGTATCGACTAAATTAGATACAACAATGCAATGATACCTTTTATTTTTGTGTACTTCTCTCATTTCTATTGATTGAAACAATTGGTACTCTTCTCATTTAATTAGAATAAATCATGATTGTATTAGTTTTACTTTATCGATCCAATGTTATTTTCCATATAGCAATATAGGTTTATATATGCATGCATGGCGGTCTCAAACTTTGTATAGACCAAGGTGTAAACTCTTGATTTTAATATATTGGTGTAATTTGTTTTTTTCAAATAATGAAATTTGCAAAAATAACTTTTTGATATTTTAGGTTTTAGCAAAGCGTATTTTATTGAATTGCAGGAGAAAAAAAACTTAACATATTTTTGTTCAAAACAAAAAAAAAAAAAAAAAAAAAAAAAAAACTTAACATATTCAAAACTGTAACCTTTTGGAATGGATCATGCTCACTAAAGTTCATCATATGGATACCATGTTTTAGATCATGATGATCTGTAACATCTGTTTGGGTTGCAGGTTCAAATAAAAATTGTTATTTGAGAATACTATAAACTTTTGACTATTCTCTAGAAATACTCTTGGTAAGCGCCAATAATTAAACACTTACAAAATAGACTTAATCCATAGGTTACGTTCTTATGAAGGTAAAAGATGGGAGGATCTCTTTTCTGGTAATTTTTTTTTTTGCTAATTAAAAAAGCTATTTGAAAAGAATGGCCTTGTTGTCAGCCACAACTCAACCTCAGGCTCTCAAATTAACCTCCAAACCAAATTAACTACAATATCCAATGGTGCTTGATAGCACAATTTTATTACAAATTTAAAACCTTCAACGTTATAAAATATCTAATGAACATGAGTAAAAATTATGTGGTCAACACCTTCTACACCCACCATATGATACTTAATTATAAGATCCTTTTCTAGGCCTTTCGATCAAATAAATACTAAGTACGAAAGAGAGAAATAAATACAATGTTAACTGGAGTATAGAAATAAAATCTTTGGGGCCAAACAAGAGTTAAAGCGAAGAGGAAGAGTCATATATGCCATAAGTTTCGTTTTGGATCCGTGTTCCACCATAGCAAGTAAGTAAGGACCGCGTTTATGGATCCGGTCGTTGTACACTTTTTACAAATTGGCTCTTTCGTGACACTAAAAGATCAGTCCAAGGGTCTTTCTTCTTCCTCTCCCGTTTAAAAAACAAATTTGTACTATAGATATGATGACACCACATTGAATGGATTCCGAGTTACGTTCCTCACCCACACAGGGACATGAGTTGATTATGTGCACACGACAACATACGTAATAATAAGTAATGATTTGTCCGACTTCCTAAACAAATATTCTTACCCCTTTATTTTTTACAGCAAATTCTTAACGGAGTCTAAAGTGCTCTAGTAACGATTTATTTATTTATATAGTAGTGTTGTAATTTCCTTTTCATTCCATATATATAGGATTCCTTTAATTGGGGTTTTAAAATTATTCATATATTGCTCATTTATAATTTGTCTGATCAAAATGAATATTATTGATCATACTTGCATGGATTTACACAGTGGCGGAGGTAAAGTATTAGTATAGAGGTCAATTGACCCTGGTGAATTTTTAAAATTTGATGAATAATTAAGAAAAAAATCAAATTGACCCTTGTAAAATAACATAATTGACCCTGTAAATTTTTTTTAATAACATAATTAAATTCCAATTTAATTTTTGACCCTCCTGAATTGAAATCCTAACTCCGCCACTGGATTTACAGAGATCAGATACTATATGAAAGATTATGAGATTTCAGCGCAAAACTAGTTGATAATGAGTATATTATATTAACACATGTCTATCTTTAAAATAAACTATATATTGTTAGACAAAGAAAGTGTGCATGTGTGTGTGAGTACTGAGTAGTACACAATTAACAAAATATCCAAATTAATAAGATCTCTTTTGGTTAATTTGTTTCTCCTTGCAAAAAATTAACGAGAGGTGGAGAATAATGTTTTTTCGTAGTATTGATAAATAATTTCCTATTATGGAGAAAAAAAATATCAGAGTGATATGAAATAATAATGACTTGTATTTGTTTTGTAGCGAAAGGGGATGTTCTTTTGTTTCTTGTCCAAAATATCTATGTGGGCTCTAAGTTTCAACCCCGTTTCCTTTAGGTCACATGATGATGTATATGTGTATGCATACATAGAGAGAAGATGATATGAGAGTGTATGTAAAGAAGAAGATTAAACAATCACAGACCATACAATGCACTTCTCCAGGTAAGGTGCGAGGTCAATGAATCAATTAACAAAAAGAAGAAAACTTTTTTCCAGGAAATATAAAAAGAGGATTATTGTAAAGGGGAAAAACAAAAGTTGATTTCAGAAAGCAAAACCCTTTGTTTCTCCCTCTTAACTCATCTCTCTTTCTTCCTCTATTAGTAAAGCTGAGACAGCACTATCCACCAAATAAAAGAGCTTAAAAATCTCTATTCTCTTCTTCACATGAAAAACAAAAGATTCCTCGATCTTGTTATTCTTTTTCAGTAGTCACACACACACATACAGTATAATTTAGTACACTTTCTCCAATACCACCACCACCACCACATCGTTTAAGAAAATACTAAAACCAAAAAGATATCATCCGATGATAGATTACGAGCAAAACAATGACCATAGGAACCTTCCTACTTCATCTTCCAACGATCTTCTTCTTGGCATCAATGGAGCCGCAGCCGCCAAGAGAAAACGAAGACCCGCAGGGACACCAGGTTTTTTTAATATATATTTCTTTATATATTACTGTTCATTAGGTTTTCAATAATTCATCTAAAGATTTGGTTTCCGATCATTAAGTTCTAAAATGTGTTCTTGATATTCCAAATGAGTTATCAAGATTGACAGAACTGTATTCAATACTAATATTTTAGATTGACTTTTTTTAATAACTCACATAAAAAAATTTGTGTGTTTTGGGATTCCAATAATTCAGCTAAAGATTTAATATATGAGTTTTTTTTTTCATATATTCCCAAATAGTTTTGATTTTCGAGAAATTTGAATAAAACATTCCAAATGGATTGTCCGTGTTATTACAGATCCAGATGCAGAGGTGGTATCTTTATCACCAAGAACGTTGCTAGAGTCAGATCGGTACGTGTGTGAGATCTGCAACCAAGGGTTTCAGAGGGATCAGAATCTACAGATGCATAGGAGAAGGCATAAAGTGCCATGGAAGCTTCTGAAGAGAGAGAAGAAGGACGAGGAAGTGAGGAAGAGAGTCTACGTGTGTCCTGAGCCGACGTGTCTCCACCACGACCCTTGCCACGCCCTTGGAGATCTGGTCGGAATCAAAAAGCACTTCCGCCGGAAACACAGTGTCCACAAGCAATGGGTTTGCGAGAGATGCTCCAAAGGCTATGCAGTTCAATCTGACTTCAAAGCCCATCTCAAGACTTGCGGCTCACGCGGTCACTCCTGCGACTGCGGCCGAGTTTTCTCCAGGTTCTTTCTTCATTATCATCATCTCTCACCCTTCGTTTTATTTGTATTACCTGTCTATATAGAATAAGCCCTAAATATTGTCTCTATGCTGATGATTTGATTTCTTGGCTTTCACATAGTTTGATTTTACTTTCTTGAGATTATATAAGGAAAATATTATAATTGGGAATTTGGAATCCTTAAATTAAACCAAAGAATGCTTTCTAGGATGGCGTATAATGTTGTCACATTACAGGTGTGCTCGTATATATGTATAGAAATATATTTTCTTTAATGAGCATATAGATTTGGACAGAGCCTACCAATAGAAGTTCAGTGCTTGACTGTTGCCAGATAAGTTTATTATACATAAATATAGTTTTTCATATGTGAGCACACATTGACCCATTATGAATTTCCATTACCAACACTTTTTGTTGTATTTTTTTAATATACACAAGCTAAAAAGTCTTATAATCACATAATCCCTTTCCAAAGATACCTAAATCCATAACTCAGTTTTATATTATTGCCTTCATCTTTTGATTACGTACGTACTCTATCAAACATACTCATTCCTCCTGTTTTAAACTCTATTTTTATTTTATCTTCATATAGTTTAGCCAGTACGCACTACTTTCAATTATTTAGGTCATCTAAACATACACTAATACGTAGCTCATTCTTGAGTCTTCTCTTGTTTTGTATTTTCAGGGTTGAGAGTTTCATAGAGCACCAAGATACTTGCACCATCCGGCATCCTTCCACCACCAACCACCGCCCTTTACAACAGCACACGCCCGGCACCGCGGCTCCAACAAGAACCATTTCGACCACAAGCTTTGGCCCTTTATTGCATGGTCTTCCACTATTAAGGCCACCACCACCATCCTATCAACATTCACAAGCTTTGCCGTACCCTTTCAATGCTTCATCAGCTCCATTTGAAAGCCTCGAACTCCAACTGTCAATAGGAATGGCAAGAACATCAGCACAAGCGAAGAGCACAGAAAAGGGAGAGACGAGTTTAAACAAGGAGAGACCGAACGAGGAAGCAAGAAAGGCAGAGAAAATGAGACAAGAAGCGAAGATGCAGATAGAGATGGCGGAAACAGATTTTGAGAAGGCAAAGAGAATAAGGAAAGAAGCAAAGGCGGAGCTTGAGAAGGCTCAAACTGTTAGAGAAGAAGCAATCAAGAGGATTAGTGCAACAATGATGGAGATAACTTGCCACTCTTGCAAGCATCTGTTTCAGCTGCCTGTTATGGCTGATGAGAGTACGTCCTCTCTTGTTATGAGTTACGTTTCCTCGGCGACAACTGAAGGGGAATGCGAGTGATCTCCAGTAACTCTTCATAAGACACCATATATGATCAAAACTCAAAAGAAACAAATAATTATTTCAAACGAAATGATGGTATTTAAGTGGTTAATACACCATTTTGTGGATCCATATATATTAGAGCAAAAAAACGCATCGTTCTCTATTGCCACAGAAGAATTCACATAATGACTGTAAATTTTGAGAATCATGCATTCGAATTTCGATTAAAATTCTTCCGGTTATTATATTTTTTCGTAATAATTGAGATTTTTTTTTTTGTTCCTTGATATAGCAATTTGTCTGGTTTTAGACTTTTAGGTAGCTTAACATTATCATTTGAGTTTTTTTTTTTCAGAAAAAGGAGGAAATGTTATACATGCATATGGTAGTTAATGGTGTGGGGTTGGTTGATTGGTTGGCGTAAGTTGTAACTTTTTTTATATGAAAGAAAGAAAGAAGCATAATGATAAGGTTTATAGAAAATGCTTTGTTCTCTCAGAACTAGTGGAGCATTCTATACAAAACAAAAATAATGAATGAGCATTGATTGAGGAAGGGAAGCATTAGTGTAATTTCCAATAAATTCGAGAGAAATAAAAATAAAAATGATAAGAGGTCATTTTTTTTTTTTTTTGTGTGTACAAGAATCTCAGGTGGAAATGATTGATGTACACCTAATAAAATATATGAAGATCACGAGTCGCTTCTTTCTCTTTCCCATCGTTACATTCTCGTCGTTGCATCTTAGTCTCAATCCGACCAAACAAGATATCATCTCTCTCACATTAAAACCGAATCTTACAATATGCCATTTGTGAAAAAAAAAAAAAAAATCAACAAAAAAAGTTACCCTATGGCTGTTGAATTAGAAAAGGTCACGTCCTAGGCTCTCTCAGCTTAAACAAGTATAAAGGAAAGAGATGTAGAAGAAAAGAGATTTTAATTTCTATATTCAGTTTGAAACAATCATTTTCTGTTTATGTACAAATTATTGCTAGCTAGGACTCAAGATGCATAGGACATAGAAATGAGAAATCTATGCATAACGCATTGTGATAAAACTATACAATGGAAATGAATCTTTGCATTGTTTTTTATTGACATAATATATATATCTGGTTTGCCCGCGATATTTAATTAGCTTTTGGAGATAGGATTTCTTGGAGAAGTTTCATAAACTATTCACGGATAACACATTAGGTTATAGGTCAATTGACCATGTCCATGTGATAACAAACATCTTATCTAAACAAGCAGTACTGTATTGCGATTGAAAAAATGGATTCTATCGTCCCTTCATAATTGATATCGTATAGGTAGGTTTCGAAGTTGTGAGCATAAGTGGTTAGCTCATTTTTTTTTTTTTTTGAGTTATTATATAACAAACGCCGTCTCTTTGGTTTAAAACTAGTACATAGACATATAGTACATCTAAAAAAACTATAGTCTATAGGAACTAACCAGAACAAATAGTTATATATCTTTCTTAGCAGAAATGTGAGAAAACCATGTGCTATAAAATGGGAGGAACAAATTCAAAGATGCCCACCCATCATGAAAAAGCCAAAATCAGTGTCAAAGTAGAGAGAGAGAGAGAGAGAGGGATATGTTGGTGAATACATATGTGTGTACATGTACACAGAAGAAATGCAATGATGTAAACACATAGGAGAGAGATACAAGAGGAGGAGGAGGAGGAGGAGTAAATGCAGAATTCAGAGCAGAAGTGGTTGTCGTTTCCTTTACAGGAAAAGGAACGACATGAATTTCAGTGCCAAAAAGATTGTTGAAATGGTGGTTAGGAGTCAGGCTTCTGTCTCTCTCACCCTGACCCCTTCACTCACTTCCATGATTATTTCCTTCTTCTTCTTCTCTCTCTCTCTCTCTCCTTCTTTTCACTTTTTCTTGACTCCTTTAAAAAGTCCCCACGCACACAGTCTCTCTCACGCTCTCATCTCATGTCACTTCTTGATCTTCTTGATTTTACAATCTTTAAAATATGTATGAAAAGAAAGAAGGGGAAGAAACAAATAATAAAGGGTTACTACTGTTATAAGCATGATATGAAGGACTTGTTTCATTTTTATAGACAACTTCGTAAACCCAATCAAAGGCCCATCCATGAACTAGGAGTACCTACAACGTTAGAAGTTTTCATTCGAAACCTTTGTGCCCATTTTTATATTCGGTTTGCTAAAAGCAAGTAAAACATTAAAAATGGTCGATACATCCAAGAAGAAATTATCAAAAGAGATGGAACAAGTACAAACTTTTGTGCGCAATAATTCTACTATACACAGGCGATTATTACATTGAGTCATTGATCATTTAATTTGGCCCCAACACCATCTACACACTGAGGCAATGTTGTGTTAATTTAAACCTCTTGAATATTTTTGCACACCCATTACAAATATTGTGTAGAAAATCTTAGTTTGTCATTCCAATTGGAATCTATACCGACCAATAAAAGCTGGGGATGGTTTCTTTCGTTACTCTAGTCTCTAGGTATAGTTTCACGTACTGGTATTACCAAAAGAGAAGGTTAGACTTTATCACATTCAGCAGAGGTTATCTTTAATGAATTCGTAGCATTTGAGTTCCACCCACTTCTGTGTACAATTAACTTTGAATGAAAAAAAGTATGCAAATTTTGAGTTAGAAATTAGATTATGCCACTGATTAAGGATGATAAGCTTTTAAAGATTAAATGTATAAATATAATTCAGTAACCAATACTAGAATATTAGAAATCTTAATGATAAGTTGATATTCTACAAACACGTAAAGCAACAAAACTTTGACATAAAACATTCGATTGCAAACACAGCGCCACAACATAGAAATCGATATGAAGAAACTTTAAAAGAGTTTTGAGTCAAGATTTTGGCTTTCTAAGAGGTCTCAACGTCTGAGAGATCCAAACCTTCTTGGTAAAGCTCAAAGTCAACGGGACTCCATCTGCAGATCAAGTTCAGCTTGAAAGTAGCCATCTTCTTTCCCAACAGACGCTGCAGAACCAAGTATAAGCAAATCTTTCCAGAAAACATACAAATATTAAGGAAAAGGTTTTCGAATACAGAAGTCTTATTACCAAAATGTGGGCTGATTGCGGAGAAAGGGGTTTTCCTTCTTCACAAACTACAAAGTCAGCAACCAACTCCACAGTACCTACATAATAAATCAGCAAAAGAAATAAAGTTTTGGGTTAAGATAAATAAGATTTTGTGTATGAGAGCGAAGAATAATATTAAGATGGTGAGTCGTAAACCTTTGTTTAGTCGAACAGGCATATTCAGCTTTCGAAGAAGCGGTTCCATCTCATGTGTGAACTGTTCTAGAGGGCCTTCCTCCAGTGCAACCTGTACCAATACAGCAATTAAGACAATGCAATGGGGAAAAAAGTTTTAAAAATAACAGAGAGAAGCAGAGGATGATCATAGGCAAGCTTGTTTATTGATCTAGAAGCAACAATATAGAGAGGTGGCACAAGTTCTGTTCACAAACCGTTTCTGCTGCCATGCTTCCGGTCCTTGAAAAGTCGGCATCCTCATAGGCATTAAATAAGCTGCAATACAAGCATAAAAAGCATAGCAAACAGTTAGAACAAAGAGACATGGATACAATTCAAGACCCTCACTGCAGTTTTCACCAAAGCAAAAGAAGGAAAAGAGAGAGGTTTCAAGGACAGATAGATACCTTTCCACCTCGTCCTTTGGCATATCAGTAACAAGAAGTCCAGCATTACCATTAATCAGCTGAAACAACATACCCCAACATATGTAAATCTAACTGAAAAAGGGAATTTAGTATAAAACAACCATTGTAAGAAGCAGAGTACACAAACCTTGGAGACATTGTAGATACCAGAACGGATTTCCGTAGAAGCATCACGACCAAGAGCAACCTGCATCACTTTGTTCGAACCAAGGAAGAACCTAGACAAATAAGAACCAAGTCAGTCAAATCACCAAAGTCACTATCAAACACTATAAATGTAAAAAGATGCTTATGTTTCAATAACTATCTCAAAAGTAAAAACCCATCTCTCCATCATTTACTCATAATTCAAACATCAACAAGAAGAAACTGACCTTCCATTGTGCTTAAACTGCTGTCTAAACTCGTTGAATTTGATATTTCTCATGTTTTCAAAAGAGAAAACATAGACAGATGAATATTTCTCAACAGCCTCTCTAATTCCATTTATAATACACTCCTTATGCTCTTTTCCTTTCTTCTTAGTCTTGGACAAAGTAACTGCAGCAAAAAAAAAAATCAACAACCACACTTTAGTTAACCACACAATAGAAAACTATGAACAATGATTAGAAAGTCCAACAAATTCAGAATTTTTTCAAAAAGGGTTCCTCTAAAAACCTAGCAAAACCCTAAAACCCTTGACGGCGGCTACAAAACTTACAAACAACGATGCAACGGTTCCGACAATGGAATCAGAAAGAGTAAAGGAAGAAAGAGTTGGAACCTGGTCTGTCTCTCTTTGATTTAGGCATAGCTAAAGTTTCAACTTTCAAATGTGTTTGTGTGTAAGTGAGAAGGAAACGGCTTTGTGTATCTTAAGCTCCTCCTCTCACTTTTTCTTCAGGATTCTTGAAACCCTCGTTCCCTTCTCTGCTTTAATTCGCCTCCCTTTTTTTTTTTTAAATCTGGACCCCTAAATTAACCCGACCCGGATCCGGCCCGTTTTAGGCCTTATAGTTATCAGAAATCTGGGCCGAAATTTGTTGTTATCCGAAGGTTGTTTGGAAGGATGATTTGGTTTAGTCGGTTAACCAACATACTTGATAGTCACTGTAATTTGGAAAAAAAAGTAATTTAAATTACAATGGATTATAATGTGAACTTAGCTTTATGTCAAAACAGAGTCTTAATCCGACCAAAAAAAAAAAATAGAGTCTTAAATGAAATTGATAGTTTTGTAGTTTTTCTGGTGATAAAATCGAAATGTATACATCATTATTCATTGCTATAGACAATACAGTAAAATTTATATAAATTAATAATGTTGAAACCAGAAAATTCTATTAATTTCCTAATTTGGTAAGTTTAAAAAAATATATACATCAAAAATAAAATAGAACCAATTACAACAAAAACAACAACCAACATGAATGAATAAAACAATACTCCTGAGTCCAAGCCTTTAAAAAGAAAAAAAAAACAAGTCGCATTGGCCATGGGGATTCGAGATTTAACATGCTTTCCTCCGGCCCTAGGAGATTAGTCTTTGGGCCTAGAAAACCTTTGTGATCACTCATGAGTTATCAAAAATAAAATAAAAATAAAACAATACTCCCTCTGTTTACAAAGAGTTTGACACAATTCACACAAATTTAAAAAACATTAAATTATACATATATGCCTCTATTTAATATGTGTTTAATCGTTCAATTAGTTTTAAATTAAGGGTTCAATAATTAGTTTAATCCATATTTTCAAGGAATAATTGTGAGTTTAGTACATTTTTGAAACTTAATTAGCAAAATAGTACAATCACTATTTATAATTGGCAAATTAGTCAGCTTTTACTATTCTCACTATTTGGAAGACATTAGAACCCCTTCAACTTTCTCATATTTACACAAATGCCATTAAACACATATTTTTCATTTATTTCTTTTTTCTTTTTAATTATATTCTCCCTTCAATCTAAAAACTAAAATAGTAGTCAATGAATTTTTTTTTTTACAAGTTTCAAATATATAAAAATCTATGTTTTTTTCTCTATTATATGATATGCATTTTGTTTGAAGATTTTATTTGATAATAACAAATAATTTTCATTAATTTTAGATATGTACAATTTACTAAGTGTACAGATCTAATCCGTACAACTTAAAACGTGTACATATGTACATCTGTACAACTTAATAAGTGTACAAATATTAGTTTACAAGTCGTAAACGATTGTACACGTATTTGTACAATAGGATATATGTACAAATACAATTGTACAGATCAAACTGTATATTTATTATATGTACAGAAAAATGTATGTATAAAAACTATATACAATGATATATGTATAGATATAATTGTATGTATATTGACTATTATATTGTATTATACATGTATTTGTACAATATGATATATATGTACAAATACAATTGTACAGATCAAACTGTACACAAATTATATGTACAAATGAATTGTACGGATGCCTTTTGTACATCTACCCTTTTGTAATTTACCACCACTACACTATACCCCACTTTCTCATCTATCTCACACATTATCTATCTTACATAGTGGACCCATTGTCTATTTATCCAATTTTGAATAGTAAATGTACTATATCACAAATTAAGTTTTGAAAATGTACTATAATGCTAATTTTCCCTATTTTCAATTAGTTTTTTTTTTACTTAGTTCAATTAATTTGCAGCAGGAATTATTTAATATGTGTTTAATAATTTTATGAAATTTTAATTAAAAGTTTGCAATTAAACGGTCGTAGCAAATTTGCAATTTATATTTGGAGATATTTTCGCTTTCATCATTATTAAAATATGTATGTGTCGATACTCGCTTTTCATTTTCGGATTTATCATCTTTAAAACAAGACGCAAGTCACATGATAGAGAGGTACTGTATATAGAAGAATGGAAGAGAGAATCCAAAACCAAAACTTCCAAATTTGGATTTTTACCAAGTGTTTATGGCTTTACGTACGCATGTTGCCTACTGACAATAACGAGTTAGGAGCCTCTAACTCTCTTTTTGGAGTTCTTGTGTGTGGCAAAAGCAATCGAAGGAAACCACAAAGCATGCTTAGCACGTGTCAACGTCAACCTAATATGTTACTTTTTATTTAAATCTTGTTTAAACTGATCAAATTTCTATATGTATTTTAATTAAAAGTTATTAGTAGTAGCACCGATGCATTGTCATTCTGGCTCAAATAGCAAAACGCATTACCATTCGTTTAAGATCTAATAAGAATGGTAAAAAGATGCTTTTGCAAAAAAGAAGAAGATTCTTTTCCAGTGAACGCTCTTGAAAGCTTGTGGAGGTAGTACTCCATTCACTAGAGCTAGCGATAATAAATAGTTTCTTCTTCTTCTTTTTGTTTTGCATTACGTCTTCACTTTGTATATATTCTGTTTTTCCCTTTGATCATGTATATACATTTCAACACGTAATCTCTTTTGTTTTGCTACTTAAGTCACTGGTTTCTATAAACATGTATTTTGAATCTCACATCTTCTAACATCCATCACTTATCTTGTTGACGGTCATCTCTACAATTGAAGTGGAGCACAATGAAAAAGGTATAGAGGTAGGATTAAAGACGAAAACATCTTGGCTGGATAAATAAGGCTGGTCATCATGGGCTCAGGAGCACTGAATGATAGTTAATGGTAGAAGAGTTATAGCTAGAGTGGGCATATCAAAGTAAAAACCAGAAAATTGTGGGGCGTGTTAGATAGAGAAATGAAGGGTACAGTCGCAATGGTGGCGGTTCAGTTTATGTTCGCAGGAATGTTCATCTTGTTTAAGGTAACGGCCAATGATGGTACGAACCTCAAAATCCTTGTGGCTTATCGTCTCTCCTTCGCTACTCTTTTCATGTTTCCTCTCGCTCTCATCTTCCAAAGGTCAGATTTAACATAATTAGGACAAGTAAACACATTCAAATGACCTTATTGAATATATTACCAACTTAACCAAGTCATTTGTGTGAATTCATATTGATTTAATATTCAATGTTATATATTTTAATTATAGTGTTTTTGTTTTTGATTCCACGTGATCATCAGGAAGAAGCGGCCAGAATTCACTTGGAGGCTGCTCTTACTAGCATCTCTTTCGGGGTTGCTCGGGTACTCTTAAACTAGTACAGTAATACACTTTTTAGCTGAAGTTTTGGGATTTTTATTTATTTATTTTTGTATGGCAAGAGAATATAGTGAAATAAAATAAATTAAAAATCCATAGATAAAACAGTGTTACAGTGTGTATATGTTAATGAATGAGGATGGTTGGGATTGCCAAATTGCATGCAACTAAGCATTTGAACTTAGAGCACCCATGGAATTATTTGCATGGCAATAATTTCAGGTTTATGACTACTTTGCAGAGCGGCGATACCAAATATTCTCTATTTGCCGGGTCTGGTTAGGACATCAGCCACCTTTTCAGCTGCGACCAGCATAATTGGCCCGGTGATCACCTTGGTATTGGGTTTGGTTTTTAGGTTAGACACATAAAACTTTAATTCATCAATTTTTCAAGTGTTACAATCTATTCCCTTCATTAATGCTTAACCAAATTGCAAACTTCTTCCATTGATCAAAGCTTTGAATATTTTCCTGCTGATGATGACTTAAAAGTCTAAATGGTACATCTAATTCTTATTTAACATCGGTTCGGTTCGATTTGTCGTTGGCCAACAGGATGGAGACTCTACGGCTGGGAACAAACGAAGGGAGGGCTAAGCTGGTGGGAACGCTTCTTGGTGCCGGTGGAGTCCTTGTGTTTATATTCTATAAAGGTCTTGAGATTCATATCTGGTCAACACACGTTGACTTACTAAAAAACTCGGATACTGGTCAATTATATAGCCGAGCCGCTACGAACCACCACATCTCGATCCCAGGGGTTCTTATGGTTCTTGGCTGTAACGTTTCCACCTCACTTTGGTTACTATTGCAGGCAAGTGCTACTACTACAAAAAAAAAAGAAAAACATAAGTGATTCATGTTTATACATAACTAATATTCAAATATAAACTAAAATATAATTGACAAAATTGTAAATTTTGCTAAGAAGAATTGAGAAATAAATAGTGTAATGTAGAAGAGATAGTCGGAAAAAAAAATAGAGCTACTAATTGAAAATATGTTTTGAACGTTGATAAGATCGAAAAGACAAGGCAAAATCTTGGTTTACAGGCAAAAATAGGCAAGGAGCTTGGAGGACTTTATTGGAACACAAGTCTGATGAATGCGGTGGGAAGTTTTGTGTGTGTGATTGTAGCTCTTTGTTCGGATAGCGACTGGAAGCAATGGCGATTAGGATGGAACATTACCCTCGTAGCTACGCTTTATTCGGTATAAACAATCTAAAATCTGATAAATTAAGGATCGGTTATAGATGCACCTAATAATGACCTATATACGTAAATGTGTCGCACGTTTATATTTTTACTGTCCGTTATGTGTAGGGAATCGTGGTTTCCGGACTGGTCGTGCCTCTGGTTGCATGGTGCATCGCAACAAAAGGACCCTTATTTGTTACGGTGTTTAGCCCTATACGGCTTGTTATCGTAGCCCTGATCGGATCATTTGCTTTAGAGGAAACGCTTCATTTGGGAAGGTATAGCAAACTCGATCATGTCACCACTAAACTATTTTTTTGTAAGTGATATAATTAATGTGAATCTTATTCACTTTAAAATTTTCTTTGCTAAAATTACAGTATAATCGGTGCCATTATAATGGTGGGAGGAGTATACCTAGTGGTATGGTGTAAAATGAAGGAAAAGAAGAAAAGGACTACGGTATCCGACCATACTGTAACAAATAAGAATGCCAAAGAAATGAACCTGGGTAGTCTACCAGCTATAAATAGAGATGTCCCTTGAATCAACCATATGTGTTACATCATCATATATAATTTGAGTCTACCAATAGAAGCAGAGTATAAAAATATGATCGATACGTGAATATCCATCCATATGATTGCGTGAATTGGTGTTAAGTCAGCCATTGTAGTATCTCTTTTCATTTTTCTGCGTGACTTCAATTTTAAAACACAATTACAACTTGATACGTATTATTATACCCCTAAAGTGCTATTTTATATTTCTAGCTTGTTTCATTGTTTGATTCGCAAACTCGTCGTAATAAATTATGGCAACTAGTTCTCCACAACCTTACATCTCATATTTTATGTTTTTTGAAGTGATTAATTAGTCTTCACATATGTGGTTCTCATCTACTGTTTTGGTACTTTTTTCTTTGGCTCGAGGTTGGAACTCAACATCAAATGTTTCAATGTTACAGTTGCATGTGCTAAGTAACTATATTACTTAAATTGGATTTAGATGTGCTTTCCGTGCGATGTATATATAGAATAGTGTAGACTCTGACTATGTCTAAGTAAACAAGTTTAACAAAAGGAAAAAAATGAGTGCATGACCTAATGGCATAACCATTAACTAGTCCACCGTTGTTGGCTAGTTGCCATAAAAGTTATTAGTCCACCGTCGAAGAAAGAAAGAGTAGTAAGCAATTTTTGAAGTAAACAATAAAAGGGATAGATAACGTTGGGAGAGGAATCATGACACGTGAACTTGCACTATCGGTCAAACCTGGCAACGGGGACATTTCTTTAAATACCCACAAAATATCACTTTTGTAAGAGAGAGTAGGAAAAAACAAAAACAAAGAAGATCTAAGAAAGAAAGAAAAAAAAAAGAGAGAATGATGAAGAAGCAAGTGACAATAGTGGTGGCTCTTATGATTATGATGGCTTTATCTTCCAACTTGGATATGGTCGCTGAGGCTCAATTAGGCCCCGGAGACTGCTATGACGGTTGCTCCACCGCCTGCGTCCAACGTGACCGTGAGTACTATCTCTCTTCTTTATTAATTTACCCACCAAAAAGATTTCTCTATCCATTTGTATAAATCATTCTCTTTTCTTCAGCGAGAAAGACGTCCCGGTGCGATCAAAAGTGCTCCATTCGTTGCGGCCCAGGTAAAATTATGAAAACCGGATCCATACCGGACCGGTCTGTGATACATTTGTCTAATTTGTAGCAACCCTGATTAACCGGTCGGCTAAGGTTGTAGAAAATTTTTTTTTTCTTCACATATGATCGGAATTTCTGATCTGTCATAGTATGGAACCAAGAGGGGGGGAATTGGAACTGATGTTGATGTACTTTGTGTCTGTGATTGCAGATGCTGTCAAGGCAAGAGAGACTGGTGTTTAAAACTCTTATATTTTACTAAGATCCCAATAAATTAAATTATGTTGTAATCGCATTCTTATAATACACGTATCTCTCCAAAACATATTCTGTAACAGTGATATAGTTATTGTAAGTTTGTTACCAATAATAAATAAACAGCAACAATGGTTGATCATATACTATTCCGGTTTGTATTAACTTTGAATCGTTTTGAGAACCGGATCAGCCGGTCTAACTGAGATCTAATCAATTTGTCATGTTTCCTTGCAACTACTAAAAACTGGCTAACTCACATGCCTCTTTCACATCAAAAACTCTCCTGGCTAGGTGCTAACTCACACGTCTTGTCTTCTATTTCTTCGATCGATCCAGTTCTAGGGTATGCCAAGCAAATACATGCTCATGGACATGGCCCATTCCCAAATTTGATATATCACTCCAACATAAAGGCCTAGAAATGTTTTACTTGTATTGAAGGATTCCACATTGTGGAACACAGTTAATTTACGAGATTGAAATTAAGGTAGACTGTGTTTGGATGCTTTTTGCTGCAATAACTAAGCAACACTGTAATACACTACCTTAGTAAAACAACAAGTAGGCTATTATCAATATAAAAAGGAAAAAAAAAAAAAGTAGGGAGCAATATAGTGACAGCTATTACGCGATTTATATATCAAATAAAGACTATCATTGGATAAAAGTTAATTTTTTTTTGTTAATATACATAGGATTGCATGTCTATCTCATAATGAATTTTTATACGTTATACGTCGGTGATCTATTTTTCACTTAGATTCAATGTAATAGGGTTTGGATATATAAAAGGATAGGAAATGTAGGGAGATAAATCATGACGCGTGTACATATGGACAAGTAGTCAAACATGGCAACATTGCCTCTTTTTTTTTTTTTCTTCTTTCGTAGATCTTTTATAAAACCCAAAAACAGATCGCCCTTGACTAGAGGGAGAAGGCCAAAAACAAAGAAGACCTAAGAGATAACGAAAGAGAAAATCCGGGAGTGATCGAGAGAATGATGAAGAAGCAAGTGACGGTAGTGGCTACACTTCTGATTCTGGTGGCTTTGTTTTCCAACATGGATATGGTGGCGGAGGCTAAGTTAGGCCCCAAACCATTTAGAAAGCTAGACGCAGTCAACTGCTACGACGCTTGCACCACTGGCTGTGTCAATCCCGACAGTGAGTAGTACTCCCTTCTTACTTAATCATCCTTAGCTTCCATGTACACATCCGTTTTAATATTCTCTCTTTTAATACAGATAAAAAGCTGATTCGATGTCACCACAAATGCTACGTTCGGTGTGGCGGTACAGGTAACAATATTAATTTGTCTAGTAGAATAGATTAATGAAACCTGATCTTGAATTTTGTATGGATGAAACTTAATACCATATGTTTATCTGCTAGAACCGGATCATGAGTTGTGGAACGATGAGATGCTTTTGTAACTCTATGGAAACCAAAAGGGCACTCGGAACTGATCATGTTGATGTACTTTTTGTAATTGCAGGAGGTGAAAAGACAAAAGAGACTCGTGCTTAAACTTCATATTCACTACGATCCATTTCATATAGTTATGTTGTAACCAACAACAACAACTATATATGGCTAGATAATAATATGCGGTATGCGCAAAACTATGATTAATATTGGAATATATAGATTCTTAAAAAAAGAATCTATACTATTAAAAGAAAAGTTTCTACATAATACAAACTTTTGAACGGGTAGCATGACAATGATCATGATGCCATACCGTCGATATAGTTTGTAATCACCCATAAATAAAACAGTGCATTATTGGTAATTGATGCCTATACAATCGACAGCAGGTAGCAAAATATTCATAATGCCACATGGGCATTTACAAGAGATGAATCATGATATAGCAAAATGTATGCGTGTCATTTCGATCTCTATCAATAAAAGTGGGTTGCATACACACTTGTAACAAGTTACTAAATAGAAAGCACGAGGACTTATATGTTCTCCACCCGAAAGATTTACTACTCTTATCTGAAAATTGAAATGGGCTAGAGTAGAGCTAGGCATTAAGGCTTGCTGACCGATCTAATCTTGGTCGATCTGAATCATCAGATTATAATAACATCTCTTAAATAATTATAGATATTGATAAGATCGTGTTTGTAAACCAAATGATCTGATATTTGATAAAACAATGCATAAACCTATTTAAAGATTCGAAATTTTTCTCAGATTCTATAGAAGTACTGTTAAAATCCAATACTCTTCACATAGTGCATGGTTTTATATAAGAACAAAAAACGTGTTCGCCAAATCGTATAGTTATAACTTGAAACTTTTAAGGCTTGAGCTAAACTTTTCTCATCCCCCAAAAGTATTTAATAAAGTATCTTAAGTCGTTTTGATTTTTTCTGAAAGTTCATAATAACTTACTAAAAATTGAATGGGGTTAGGTATTTAATATTTTAAAGAGTAATATTTTAATTGTATATATATCCTTTCATCATAGATCTACTCATACTCCAATTCATTTAATTATAAATTTATGATATATAAACTAACAAGAAATTTGACTTAAGAAAAAAAAAATTGATGTGATGAAACATACCGTATAAATCAATATCGAAATGATTTGTATTATTCAGTGATAAGACTCCAAGTTCAATGGTGTAAAATCTCTATCAGTGTTACAACAATTTAGTTAAAAAAGGTTTTAACTCTTTTTTTTGGCTATTTGGTTTTGTTAAAAGTCAAAACTATGGTTGGGTCTTCGCTTGATGCGAGGCGTAGGTCATGCGGCCTCGTGGACAATAATGCTTCACAATGTCCACTTATTACAATTTTCATTCTCTCTCTCTCTCTCTTCCGTATACAAGATTTATATATATATAAAATTGTCATATAAATTCGATAGAAAAATCCAACAAGGAAGTGAAGAAGAAGAAGAAAAAAAAGCCATTTGAGAGAGTCCCTCTAGATTTTATTTATATATTATAATTCTTAAATCATTTTCTTGCTGTCTCGTGAACTATTAAAGTAAAATCAAGAAAAGCTCCTGAGTACTGGAAATAAAAAAAAGTAGAGAGAAGAAGGCACAAAAAAAAGAAAGAAGAAGACGACTTTATCTTTTTCTGGTTTTTGTTGTTGTTCTTCTTTGACTTTATGGCTTCTTTTGTGTTTAGATTTAGGCTCTCCTATAGATCTGCTTAAATCTCTGTGATCTTGTCTCTAATTCTTCTGTTTATCCGTAATTTCCGGAGGATTTTAAGAGTTTTTTTTTTGTAAGAAGAATCCCTGATTCTCTTCTTTGCTTTTTTGCTGAGCTTCTGGTTTTGGTCGGCGATAGAAGCTGAAGTTGAAGAGATTTGTTAGATTGGGTGTAATTAAAAAGCTTCTGGGTTTTCATCAGCTTGTCTCAAAGGTTCATCCTTTACTAACCCTTTTCATTTTCTGTCTTTGATCTTTATCTAGCCCAAATCTCTGATTCTTGTTGTTGTATAATCTTTTGTTTGTCATAAAAAACAGTCTTGTACTCTTGTCTGAAATTAACTTAGATTTTTGACTTTCTAGTAGTACAAGTAAATCAGATGAGTAAATTTCCCTTTTTGTAAAGATTCGGTTTGAATATGATGACCTGAATTTTGTGGAAACTGTTTAATGCTCTTGATTTTTTTTTTATGTGTGTGTGTGTGTGTGTGGATACGACTCTGTTATCTCCAGTTTAAGTAAGAGTATTAGCTGTAATATCTGAGCTTTTTTGCTTCAATATCAGATTTTGCGTCCTGATTATGCATCTTATGATCTCAATTTTGGGGCATTTTTGGTGAATTATCATCAGATTCTCTGTGTTTAATTATTGTCCCTAAGAAAGAAAGAAAAGCTATATTGGGGACGTGACCTAGTTTCTTTATTGGGCATGCGATGCTTGTATATCTTTTCTTTCCTAAGCTTTTGCCAAGCTTCTTTCTCTTTTAGGCTCCACTTTACTTTTTTTTCTTGGCTCTTTTTCTTTTATTTCTTACTTATTAAGAAGATGACTCAGAATTGCTAACCTGATTCACTTTTTTCTCTTATGGGTGCTTATGATAATGGACAGTGAGTGGAGTCTCTCATCTCAGTGTAAAGCTCTTTATTGGATTTAGGCATTTCTGGTTGTAAAGAGAGGTTTTTGGTCTTGTTGAGAAGAATCTTTGAAAAGAGAAAGAGAGAAATGTCGTTTAGGAGCATTGTTCAAGATTTGAGAGATGGGTTTGGGAGCTTGTCAAGGAGGAGTTTTGATTTCAGGCTTTCGAGTCTTCATAAAGGGAAATCTCAGGGCTCTTCGTTCCGTGAGTATTCGTCTTCTCGTGATCTCTTGTCGCCTGTGATAGTTCAGACAAGCAGATGGGCTAATCTTCCTCCAGAGCTACTCTTTGATGTGATCAAAAGATTAGAGGAGAGTGAGAGTAATTGGCCTGCAAGAAAACATGTCGTGGCTTGTGCTTCGGTTTGTCGGTCTTGGAGAGCTATGTGCCAAGAGATTGTTTTATGTCCTGAAATCTGTGGAAAGCTCACTTTCCCAGTTTCCCTCAAACAGGTTTGGTTTTGCTCCCTACGGTCTTGTTGCTAATTTGATGTTGTTTGGTTCAAACTACTGATGAATAAGCTTTTTGTTTTGTGATGTAAAAATTTGCAGCCAGGGCCGCGTGATGCAATGATTCAGTGTTTCATTAAAAGGGATAAATCAAAACTAACATTTCACCTTTTTCTTTGTTTAAGTCCCGGTAAGCTTTGTTTGGACTCAAGTTACTTGTTTTCTTAATTCACTTAGTTTTTAGGCTAAATAAAAATTGAGTAATGTTTTTTTTCCAGCTCTACTAGTGGAGAATGGGAAATTTCTTCTTTCGGCTAAAAGAACTCGTAGAACTACTCGGACCGAGTACATTATCTCCATGGATGCTGATAATATCTCAAGATCCAGCAACTCTTACCTTGGAAAACTCAGGTTCGTTTTCAGTCCTTGATGCTTTTGGTTCAAATCTCTTGCATTTTGAAATACAAAAACCAAATGGATTGGTACGTGTCTGGTTTGGATTTCTTGTGTGTAGAAAATGTATCTTTAGTGATTCCTATAACTCAAGCTCATTGAGGTTTCTTTCTCTCTCAGATCAAACTTCCTTGGGACAAAGTTCTTGGTGTACGACACACAACCACCACCAAACACATCTTCGAGTGCACTGATCACTGATCGAACAAGCAGGAGCAGATTTCACTCCAGAAGAGTTTCTCCTAAAGTCCCATCCGGCAGCTACAACATTGCTCAAATCACCTATGAGCTCAATGTGTTGGGCACACGCGGGCCACGGCGAATGCACTGCATCATGAACTCCATCCCAATTTCATCACTTGAACCAGGCGGTTCGGTCCCTAACCAACCCGATAAACTAATCCCGGCTCCATACTCTCTCGATGAATCATTCCGCAGTAACATCTCCTTTTCCAAATCGTCATTCGACCACCGCTCCCTCGATTTCAACAGTTCAAGATTCTCTGAAATCGGAATATCCTGCGAAGACAACGAAGAAGAAGCAAGTTTCAGACCATTGATATTAAAGAACAAGCAGCCGAGGTGGCACGAGCAGTTACAATGCTGGTGTTTGAATTTCCGCGGACGAGTGACAGTTGCATCGGTAAAGAATTTCCAGCTTGTAGCAGCAAGACAGCCGCAGCCTCAAGGAACAGGCGGGGCAGCGGCTGCTCCCCCTCACCCGGAGCAAGACAAGGTGATTCTCCAGTTTGGTAAAGTGGGTAAAGATATGTTCACAATGGATTATAGGTATCCATTGTCGGCGTTTCAGGCGTTTGCAATTTGCTTAAGCAGCTTTGACACCAAGCTCGCTTGTGAATAGAAGAAACCACTCATCTACCTTCACAATTCATGCTAATCCCTTGTCTTTCTCTTTTATCTATATGCTTTTGGTTTTTTTTTTTTGGCAGATCCAAAATATTGTCTCAATACTCAGTTACTACTGTGAGAGTCAGACGTCTACTATTAACCCTCTTCTCTATTCGAAAATCAATTGAACATTTAATGAGTAGACTCTTTACTTAAGCTTACACATTACTTGGTTATAACTGATAAGAAATCACGTTAAGACAAGAGTGTACGATGAAAAACAAGAAAGAAGACAGCATGTTTCAGGAACCGGACATCGATATCATTAGCAAACCAACACAACGGAACAAAAGAGTAACCATTTAAGGTTCAAGTCAACAAAAATACGGGAAACATCACATTCAGAGTAACTAAATCATCCATATCTGTAGAGAACTATGATAGGAAAGAAAAAACATGAATGAAAATAACGGAGTTGTCCTTTTTACGTTCTTTTAGTACTCAAAGACTTATCTAATTAACTTGTTTTTTGTTGACCTTTAGGATAAGTTTTTGTCCTTGGGAGCGTTTCTATGATTTTTGATTTGATCCAAAAGTTCCTTTCGGCCTACTTGTACCAAAGAAAGCAAATACTAAAAACAGATATTCCTCTAAAACGAACACAAAGCACAAATGAATAGGTTTTTACAAATATTTAGTGAAGTTCGGTTAAACGGTTCTGTTTTATAAAATTCGAATTGGATTTGGGTTCGGTACAGCCTGTACAGGTAACAAACGCAAGAAGCGAAAAAAAAATTAAAAATTGAAGCAAGAGGGTAAAATCAGAAATCACATCAGTAGTAGTTGGAGAAGCCGTGAAGGAGGAGGAGATGGTATCATCATCACTGTCATTACCTCACCACAATCTCTGGCCACCGGAATCTGGATCTACGGCGTTTCGAGGTCTCGCAACCGTCGCATCCGTACACGCCTGCCACCATGTTACCCGTCACTTCCGCCTTAGCTCCCATCTTCGCTCTTCCCTTCAGGTTCGCCTTACTCCGTCTCTTATCACTTCTTCTCCTCAATCTGAGACTAATTGTAGCTCTTTGTGTTAAAATTGCTTTGTCTGGTGCTTTTGATTTTATGGAGATTGTGAAATTTCACAAGCTTTCAAAGCCAATCTCGGTTTTGTTTGACTATATATGTGCTGTTTCGACAGAGACTGCAGCTTTTTTCGGATGCTGCGAGAATGGAGTTTGCAAGATACCGAAGAGTGATTCTACTCAATGGGTCGAGTTTTGTCAAGTCTAGAGTTGATATCCGAATGTCACCGTCTTCGTCGTTTGTATGTTTCTTTAATGGTGGAGGGAGTAGGATCAACCCTAGAGGAGGTGAGGAAGGATCATCGGTCCCTGAGACTTCCAAGAGAAACACAGTTAACGGAAGGCGATGGACCAATGTCCTCCTTGCCATCAACGTAATGTACGCTCTTTTGGTTTGATATGTTGTTGTGGCATTTTGTGGAATGCTTTTTATAAGGCTTGATCAGGTTATGAGCTACAGATGCTTATTATTGATATCATTTTGTGTTAATGATGCCAGAATGTATATTGCACAAGTTGCATCTGATGGGAAAGTGCTTACATGGGGAGCCAAGGTAAAAACATATGCAGAGACTTAATTAACAATGTGAGACTGTTTGTTTTTCTTGCTGCAAATCGATATATGTGGATGAATGCAGATAAATAGTTTAATCGAAAGAGGTCAGCTATGGAGACTGGCTACAGCTTCTGTTCTTCATGCGAATCCTATGCATCTCTTGGTCTGTTTCTAACCAATCATTCAGTTTTTGTTATTTCTTATCAATGCTGCTTACTTTTTTTCTTTTTTCCTTTTGCTGTCTGTGTGGCTAAACTGTTTCTTCCTCTTGGTTTTAGATAAACTGCTATTCTTTGAATTCCATTGGACCGACTGTTGAGAGTTTAGGTGGCCCAAAGCGATTTATTTCCGTTTACTTGACATCCGCAATTGCAAGTAACTAATTGTTCATAGACTTTGATGTGGATGAGTATATTTCTGTGTTTCGAGTTTCCTGACTCACAGAACCCATCTTAAGAATTCTAGGTTCAGCAATGAGCTACTGGTTCAACAAAGCGCCATCAGTTGGTGCTTCGGGTGCAATTTTTGGATTGGTAAGTCCCATAAAACCATAAGCCTTTGTTTCAGAGTTCTCTGGTACAGATGAAGTTTGTTAAATGAATGTCCTATAATTCTGGTAGGTTGGCTCGGTAGCGGTATTTGTTATAAGACACAAACAGATGGTCGGAGGTGGCAACGAAGATCTAATGCAGATAGCTCAAGTTATTGCTTTAAACATGGTAAGTAGTAAACAGAAAGAAACATAATTGCTACAATAGAATTATAAATTTGGATAATGTCTCTCAAATTCTAACTAGCTTTAATTACTATGCAGACAATGGGTCTAATGTCCAGACGCATAGATAACTGGGGACATGTAAGTAACCCAATCATGCCTTCAAATGTATAAACCATTTTGATTTTCTTGGATCAATGACCGAATGCAAGTGGTCTGATAATAATATCTCTGATGAATTCAGATTGGTGGTTTACTTGGTGGAACTGCAATGGCATGGCTTCTAGGACCAAAGTGGAAGTATGAATACACGACAAGAGACGGCAGGAGAGTCTTCATGGACAGCGCTCCTATTCCGCTTCTTTTGCGGTGGAGAAACGAACGACAAGGACGGCTTTGATTCAAGACCAAAGGAAGCTGAACATTTTCTCAGTGCCTAGTGAATATAAGGATTGATTGAAAGATTTGACTCTTGGTTTAAGTAGGCAACGTATTGTATTGTAAAAAAGTACTGTGGACCGGGAAGATCCTCTAGCATGATGAACTAATTCCGAATCCGAGCTTACGTCACACCTTGCAGTCAAAGTATCGATTAGTTCTTACGAAAGTTTGACCCCAATGGCAACCAAAAAGCACGGAAACACAACATACTGTAATTGATTTTTTTCATGACATGATTATTCATCTATTTAACATTTATAGTTATAATTAACGACGAATATGAACCTCATAATAGAGTTATAGATATCCCAGACGTACAAAACGCATTAACTACGATTTTGCTAATATGATAGAAACTCTTCTAATAAGGAACACATATTTCTCTATTTCATTTTTCTTGGAGAAATTTAATGCAGTAAACACTTTTTAGTAACTTCAAAATGATCTCGTGCACGAAAAACCACATATACAGTACATACATTTAATAATAATATTCACATCATATGTGAAATAACATTCATCGCCCTTGCCCCTTTGGCTCCTGCGCAAGGATGGCTCGCACAAAAAAAGACCTAACAGTCATCTACAACCAATACAACTGAGAGAGAGTTAGAAAACACATCCGTAACAATACGGCATACGTAAATCCATTCATTCTTCCCATATAAATACCCCTTTCCATATGCTTCTTCAGTTCGTAGCAATAGACAGGAAAAACCATTCTACAAAACAAATCATATCAGAGTACAAAAAAAAAATGGTGAAACTAAATGGTGGTCTCATCTCCATACTTATCATCATGGCTGCACTGTCATCTCCTTCCCATGGCATAGTCTCAGTCCCTGGCATCAACATAACCCGTATCATAATTGAAGGTGTCGTGTATTGTTCACCTGTCGGAGATCCTAGAGCCCCTGCGATCTCGAATGCCACTGTTTACTTAACCTGTGCCGGCTCAACCACTAGTCTCGGTCAAGCAGTGACCAATACGACCGGTGCATTTACCATCGTGCTCAACATTTTAAACAATGCTTTGTTTGACCCTAGTTTTTGCGGTCTCGGAGTTAATCTTCCCGCAGGAAATTGCAATCTTGTCGTACCGGATGGCGTCCTCTCTGCCACATTTAGTCTGATCAACGTCATCCTGACTAGTTCCATAAATACTGCTGTTTTCTCAGCAAACCCATTTACCAGTCGCTGATGCAAGGAAGACTTTGCTGAATAATAACACTCTAATTAAGTTTTACAGTGAGATGTTGTGGAGAGAAGGAAGTGGCTGATGCTCCACGAAGCTTATGAGCTAGTAACTCCCTCTTGGTTGATTTCATGTGTGATTATCATATAAATAATGATATTATATACTTGAATAATTTGTATTTAGTTTGGGTTGGCTGGCTGGTCGCATGTGGCTAACCGTATTTGATATACATATACGTCTACAACTTTTTTTTTCATAGTTAAAAAAAAAACTATTTTATTTTTCAATTTGTACTATGCTAATGAATGATATGAGCTTTTAGTTTCTTTTTTTTTGGTCAACATCTATCACTAATTTCCGTAAAAAAATCAATAAAAGGTTATAAAACTTTTGATTTCTGTTAATAAACTTTTATTGATTTTTATTATTATATATAACAGTTTAGTTTTAGCAAAAAAGAAAATATTTAAGAAAACACTAAATATATTAGGGGCTAGAAAAAAAAAACTGCTAATTAATAAATTACCTTTATGTTAATTAGGCTTGGTAGTTTATATATGCAGTTCGATTTGAAGGTCATTTACATTTTTGTTTTTGGTTTAATTGTAACATTGTTTGCTTTGTAATTGTGTTGTACATATGGAGCACATATAGACTAGAGTTTGCATTGTAAAACATATAAAAACAATTTAAAATAAAACTAGTGTAAAATTTCGTTTAATAATGTAATTAACGGAAATAAAAACATATAAAAACAATTTAAAAGAAAACTAGTGTAGCTAAGGAAAACAATATGTAAGGAAGTATAAGCACCAACCAAAAAAAATATGTTACAAATATTTTCAAGTTCAAGTTGACAAGTTCTTACAAGCTTTTGACTAAGCAAGACAAGTAATCTCGTGTCAAGATGCATAAATAACTGGAGGCATACTCAGTCATGCCTTCAAAAGTATTAACCCGTGGTCAACTTCTTTGATGAATTTACAGCGGTGGTTCGCTTGGTGTAAACAAAATGGCGTGGCTTTTAGGACCAGTGGAAGTATGAGGATTGAGGACACATCAAGTCGGAGAGTCTTCACCGACAATGCTCCCATTCCGCTCATTTTGCCGTGGACAATCAAACGGCGATAACGACATTAAATCAAACCAAGAAGCTGAAGCTGAACAGCTTCTCTCTAAGTGCCAGTATATTGTATATATTGGGATTTAATGTATTTTGAGTGATCTGATTCTTGGCTTTGTTTCGTTTTGTAAAAAGGCACTTATATGTATACTACTAAAGTTACTATGTTTTATGTCGCAAATGCTTTTAAAAATCCCACTTAGATGATGGGATAATGATGGCGATGATGATGATGATGATGATAAGAGAATAATACTGATGATAGTTTGGTGGTGGAGGAATTGATGGTGATGCCGCTACTTCAGATGGCAAGCTGATGAGTTATGACGATATGGTGTTTAAATGATATTGATAAAGGCATGGTATGATGTTAATGATGATCATGATGATGATGATGTATATAATGACAATGATGATGATGGTTACCCACTCTTTCCGGGTGATATAAATTTTACTGGTCCATGGCCACGCGGTCCATGCTTATCTTAATTTGTCATCTTTTATGTCCTCAAATTGTTGAATATATTAGAAAATATTCCTAAAATGGCAAATCACAATGGCTAACTTTACCCACTTCTTTTGCCATCACTATGCGCGGGACATGAAATATATATTTAAAATTTCTTGCACCATACATTTTTTTTTTTTTTTTTTGAGAAAGGCACCATACATTAAATATAAATAAATTTAAAATTTACATTACAGAGAAAATGTACAAAAATATACCAAGTTAGCCATTTCCATTAGAGTTTAATTTTTTAATAACTAAAGAATAAAAAAAAATCACCTATCGTAAATGTATAAAGACATGCATGGTTAACCTAATCAAATGTATATAATTCATTCTTTTGCAAGTTTACGTTTCTGTAATTGAAGTTTTCGTGTTAAATGTATTGTTAAAGTGACCTAACAAAAATATGTAGTGTTAATTGTTAAAATGAGATAGATTTTTTATATAATATTTGAAAGTTTGATATCTGTCCCTTAAAATTTTATCATAATAAAATTTATTAATTAAACCGGAGCAAGTTGAAAGGTAAAGTCCAATTTATGAAATGGAACTATATGCATACAGACCATACCAAAGTCGTATCCAAATGATTTAATGACGACACAACTAGCACGAAGATAATATATTTTCCCAGTTTCATACCAATATAAATATCCCTCCCCATTTGCTTCTTTGCCACACCACAACCAAAAACAAAAACACTCATTGTTGAAACTAATATCCAAAGTGAAAAAAGAAAATGGCGAAAGCAAATGTATTTCTCCTCTCCATTGTTCTCATGGCTTCACTCGCTTCCCTTTCCCACGGCCTTATAATAAACGGACTTCAAATTGGGACAATCAGTGTTCGAGGTGTCTTGCGTTGTACACTTACCGGTAACCTAAACGCGCCTCTCGTTAACGATGCGACCGTTTTCTTAACATGTGCCGGTTCAAGCGCGACTCTCGGCCAAGCAGTGACCGATCTCGCCGGTGCCTTCAACATATTGGCCAAAATTGCGGACACTGTTGCCTTTGACCGCTCGCGGTGCATTGTCACGGTACGTGTTCCTGTGGCCACGTGTTCCGTTTTCCCACCGGACGCTGTCATCTCTTCCACCGTTACTCTGGTCAGTGTCGTCCAGACGAATACCGGAAATATCGCCAACTTTGTCACTGGAACTTTCCTCCGTTTCTGATCATGGGTGCTCCATTATAAACAAAATTATAAGTACGTTCACGTACGGACTTGTATGCATTTCCAATATTTTACGTTAACATGTATCTGTAACGAGGGATAATTAGTGATGCCATCTCGACGTCGTCCACAAAGCTTATATAGCTTCCCTCTTTGTTGTTTCTCTATTTACCTTTTGTAATAATCCATCTTAGTCGAAGAAACTATATGACGACTAATGATGAGACGTTTCTCCTAAATTTGTAATTCCAATACATCTTTACTTCCCACGGTCTTGATTTGTGAAGATGTATAAATTTTATTTTAGGCCTCGATTGGTAACCATGATTTAGGAAGAAAATGAGAAGGAATGTGACATTCCTCTTCGTTCCTCAATTTTTTTTACCATTTACAAGGAATCATTTTTCCACATCATTCCTCTACATTCCTCACAAAATGAGGAACAATAGAACAAAAATGTTCCTCCCCAAAATTGATGAGGAACAAATGGTACAAAAAAAAAAACAAATATTAAAATTCGTTTTTTATTTTAAAATAAATAAAAAATTATTTATTAATAATATTTTAATCTCATAATATAATATTTT